AGGCGTTTCCTGTCTTTTCAAAGTGTGTTTGGTGTTGTACTGTAAACAGGTTTTCTCCAAGGAAACGCTGAACAGTCTCACCTCTTACCTCTGGGACTGGAACTTGTGTACCTACTGATCTTGGCTGATGTTATCATTGAATTGTTACTGTTGTGTGACTGAAATAGCCTGTGTATCATCCCCACCCCCACCCCTGAGCTTTTGGAGTAGCTCCACCCTTACTCAGGTCTCCGCCCCTGTGGGTTGAACTTGTCCTTTGTTCTTTCTGGCCACTGAGTATAGGAGTAAATGTCCCACGTGTATGGATTGCTGGCCAGAGTGGTATTTTAAGGCTCCTCTATTCAGAACAGTTTAGCTTAGTTGCTGCTCGGCCAAAGGCATGGTCCTGGGGCCTGTTCAGCTGCCTCCAGCCAGTTACTGTAGAGACCAGGACACCTTGCTGCTCTGCCCAGGTGGGGATGCCTCAGAGTTGCGTGTGGCCCACGTGGCAGGTATGTTCAGAGACGAGGGCTGGGATGGGGTGGAGGTAGATAACACAGTAATGAAATGTGGATTAATCTTCTCCTTTTACCTCCATTGTGGTCAGTGAAGGTTTATATGGTCTGCTTTTTCTGGTATTTTATACTACTATACTCTTCTGTTAGCTTGGTTGGTTGGTTTGGTTTTGGGGGGCAGGATCTCACAATGTAACCTTGGCTGGCCTGGAACTTAGAGAGATCTGCCTGCCTCTGCCAGCACTGGGAGGTAAGGCGTGTACCACCATGCTCAGCCTTGTTTTGTTTAACATAGGGTCTCACTGTCTTACTGGCTGACTTGGAACTTACTATGTAGACTAGGCTAGCCTCAAACTCACAGAGGTTAGCCTGCTTCTGCCTCCTGAGAGCTGAGAGTAACGTTTAATAAATAATGGAAGAACATGAATAATCTATAAAATGATGATAGATGTACATGTCTTGATTGAAAAACTTAAGCTGAATTGAAAACTACCAAATAATATATCCAACTAAAGTAGTTTTTTAAAGAGGTATTAAAAATTATTACTAGCTTCTTTAGACAATATATAATCAAAGTAGAACAATGTTAAGTAGTATAAATAATTACTACCTGACAAATTTATAATGAAAATGATAAAAAAAAACCCTGGCTGAATAAATATTGAAACTGTGTTTTATAAGCTAAATATTAAATATCCACATTTCCTCTGAATTTGAATTTGTATTTCAGTTTTATTATTCTGGATTTTAAGTATGTTGCTGGTGTGTGTGTGTGTGTGTGTGTGTGTGTGTGTGTGTGTGTGTGTGTGTTTTCTACAAGTAGAAAAGATAAAGATTACTTCTTTTTGGTTGTCAATATTTCTGCTCCCTAGTCTTTTATGCAAGTAAGTAAAGTTTGGGGCCCTTTACTGCTTTGTTTCCACGGTCTACCTCTATAGCAGTGGGATAACTGAAGGAATTAGTTAACGTGCTGTCGAAGTTAACCAACCTGCATTGTTCAGAAGTTAGACATTCTAGCCCACACACTGACATTGAAGTGGGCGCAGTACTTGTGACTCACGGGGCTTGCCTGTCTTAACTGGTGGCAGATGCGGCGACGGCGGCGTAGACTGGACCTGATGGCCGAGGCTCCAGGTCCTCCACCCACAGTCTTTGGTTCCCTTTGCTTTTGCTTTGTTCTTTAGTTTTCTCTCTTCTTATTTCTTTAAATCTTCGCTCCCCAGCCTTCCAGCTAAGATCATTCCTTAACTCTGTGCTTAGCCCTGGCCTTAGACAGAATTAGGACGTTTTTGTTGGAAGATATTTTCTTTTTGTTTGGTGCTAGTGGGTAGGCCAGTGTTTTCTGGGGATATCCTGTGCAGGCAGATTGGACAGGAACTTGTTCTGCAAGAACAAAAGAGTGAGTGGGAAGAAAGAAAGAAGGAAGGAAGGAAGGAAACTTTGTAAAAGCCGGAGACGGGAGGGCCTGCTCGGAACGGAAAGACTGTCTGTCTCCTTGGCTTGGGTTCTTCGAGGTGTTTTCCCTTAGACACTGCCTTTACCTTGTGCTTGTTACTTCATTTAAGGGCTATGCACCATTGGTTGACTTTTATTAAATTTATTAAAATTTTTAAAAAGCTTTTCATGTGTTGATTATATTTAACCCCCTCCTCCAATTCTTCCCATAGCTTTAAAATGTACAGAAAATTGTTCTGTGATCTCCATTCTTCCTTCCTTCCTTTCTTTTTTTTTTTTTTTTTTTTTGCCAAGTAATACAGTTTTGAAGATAATAACTTGCCTTTACTAGCCCGCTTTTGGGTCCAGAGTTCCTCCCCAGAATAGAGGAAACATGTCTCGGTATTTCCTTATGTATTGACAGTCAGCAGTGCAGAACTTTCGTTCATCATATTTAAAGGGCGTCCAGTGTAAAGTGAGCTCTGCTGTGTTCCGAGGGGTTGCTGCTCCCTCCACTAGTGCCTGCTGTGAGTTGGCAGGCTATGTGACTGTCCTTCAACAAGCCTTTGGTTGTGTGGGTTGCTTCGTTGGCAGATACAGTCTTGCTATGGTTGTACAAACTTATCTGATGTGGGTCTGAAGATCCTTCTGGCTCAGCCTCTGGAATACTGGGGCTGGAGCCGTGTGCCACATGCCTGATTTAAAAAAATATATATCTTAAAAAAAAAAAGCCTCTTATATATGAGCACTTTTGGGTCAGGGAGAAGGGCTATTGTTGTTCATTATTCAAGAAAAACTCCTGTCCTCATAAAACATTGCACCCGGAAGAGTTATCCTAAGTATTCTACGTGGGTAAATTGTGTGATAGGTTTTGTAGAACAAACCGGGGGCGACTAAATCAGGAAAGGAAACAAGGGAGATGGTAGAGTGTTGTTAGGAGTGATGCACTTCAAAATAGGATCATCAGAAAATGTTATCCCCAGAGAGTTACATTGGAGTGAAATGTAACTGAGGTGGAAGTAAAGGCCAGTGCGGGGGTGGGGAGTGGGGGTGGGGGTGGGGGAGGCAGGGGTGTATACCTGCCATGTATAAGCAGTAGTAGGGAGGGTGGTGGTCAGCATTGAAGGAAGACTAGGGGAGAAATGTACTAGGGCTAGAGAAAGGGCTCAGTGGTTAAGAGCACTCCCTAAGCTAGCCAAGGACTGGGGTTCAAATCCCAGCTGTGTATGATGGTGCATACCTTTAATCCCAGGCAATGGGGAAAAAGAGGGAGGTGGACCTCTGTGAGTTCAAGACCAGCCAGGGCTACATAGTGATACCCTGTCTTAAAAAGGAAGATGAATTGGGCAAATTAAACTGTGAGGGACCTGAAAGGCCCTTTAAGGATTTGCTTTTTACTCTAAAATTGGGACCAATGAAGAATTTTAAACATAGAGTAACAATCTGACTTTTTTTTTTTTAAAGCTTTGAAAGGAACATGTATAGACATAGAGAAATCAGTAGCCTAATGAAAGAGTGTTGGTAGAAGTGGAAGGGTGGGTGAGAAATGGATAGATTTTGGATGTTTTAAATTGTTTACATTAATTTAGGTGTGTACACACACATGTACACATTCACATGTGAGTCAGGGGACGGTTTTTGACAGTAGACTCTCCTCTTCCTCCGTGTGGTTTCCGAGCTTGGAACCACGGTTGGCAAGCTTGGCGGCAGGCAGTATTAGCACTCAGCCATCTCCCTGGACTCCTAGGCGTTCTTTGAGAGTAAGAACAAAGATATGAACGATCAGAGTTGGTGGCTAGAGCACCTGAAGAGAGAGTTACCATTGAGTGAGGTGGGGAATTCTGGCAGGAGAAACAGATTGGAAGCGGGTGTGGGTTGGGGAGCAGCTTTACTTGGTAAATTCCAGTGGTGTCATGGGTGATTTCTGGCCTTCGTGTTGGGAAACCCTGCACGATACCAGTTTGTTTGCTCCATTTGGCTTTGTGGATCTTAACGTTGAAGATGCTGGGTTTTCCAAAGGTAAATGTGCTATTTGCTAATTTTGTCTTCCATCGTGTTTACGTTGGTTTTAGCATCTTCTGAACAGTACAGAAAATCAAGTTCTAAATATTACTTAACGGGTAGCTTTGTTTGTTTGGTTTGGTTTTTTGTTTGTTTGTTTTTGCATCGGGGTCGCACTATAGCTCTGAATAGCCTGGAACCTTGAACTCAAGAGATCTGCCTGCTTCTGCCTCCCCAGTGCTGAGATTAAAGGTGTGCCCACCACACACATCTGGTTAGTATATTTAAGATTAAGATACATTTCATTGTTTCCTGTCTCTTACGTTTTTGTGTAAGTTGGGTGTCATGCAACTAACAGCTATTGAGTACAGATTATGGAACCTTTGGGGGGAAATGTGATTGTTATCCATAAGAAGTACATTGTGAGGTTGGGAAAGAAATCTAGAGAGGAGGGGTTGATGCTGTAAATGTGGTTTTTCGGGGAGACTGCAGATTCAGAAGGGATCTGGGTGTTGTAAAGTGAGGAGTCAGCCAGTCAAGAGAAAAGCAGGAAATGGGGGCTGGGGAGATAGCTCTTCCAGTAAAGTACTTGTCTTCAAGAGTGGGGAGCCGAGTTTGATTCCCAGAACCCATGTTTTTAAAAGCTGAGCATGGTGTCTCACTTGTAACCCCAGTACTGGGGAGCCAGCCTGACCAGTCTCCGTGATGAGCCCTAGGCCGTGAGACCCCGACTTGAAAAAGAAGGTGGGTGGCCCCTGAGGAATAACAGAGAGGTTGTCCTCCAGCCTCCACGTGAACAGATGTGTGCCTGCTGTGCACACGCATACAAAGAAATAGTGAGAAAGGCCACTGCAGGTATAGTGAGTGCGTGAAGAAAGGCCCAGATGTGGAAGGCAGTGCGTGCCCTTAAGGCCTACAGTGTCAAGTGTGGTGTGGGGAGAGGTAAAGCAGAGAATCCCGTCCACTTTGCTCATGAAAGAGCTTACAAGCCAGGAATGAGGAGACTCCAGTTTGATGATGAACGCTTTAAAGGCCTGAAGAGTGATATGGTCCACTTTTTGTCTTAAATAGATCACTTTGCCAGCTGTGTGGAGGATGGATTTGAGGGAGACAAGACTGGAGGCAGTAGTCCAGGTGAGATCTGTTGGGGATCCGAAAGAAGGGATTGAAGGAGAGATGGAGAAGAGGGATGACTTGAAACAACACAAAACCACAGATGCAAAGCTTTCCCCCTTCAGAATGGCTGAACCAATTTTGAGTTTAAAACAAAAAACAAAAAACCTAGGAAAAAGACAAAGAGAAAAATGTCACAGGACATAGATAGATCATTTGCAAACAGACACTTAACACAGTCCCTTGGATCAAGAAAATTGCTATTGGAAGAACAGTGGTTTTGAGGTGGGTCCCCCCTACCCCTCTTGTTTGTTTTGTACAACCAAACTAGGGTATGAGAATCAGGTAATTTTCAACAAATGTGATATAGGAATAGATTCAGAAACTATAAGGCCTTGAGAATAAACAGGTCTTACAAGGCCTTAGCTGGTGTACATAATTGAAACTCAAAAGTACATTGGTGGTATTTTCTAGAACCTTGAGTAAATTACTCATAATTTACAAAAATCTACTGCCCAGGAAAAGAGATTTTAGTTTTAAAAAAATTAAAGCAGTGAACAATTGTAAGCTATTATAACATAAAAAAGATGTTTTAGATGTTAATAGTATTTTGTATTAAATTGTGTTTCTCTTTCTTTCTTTTTTTCTTTCTTTCTTTCTTTCTTTCTTTCTTTCTTTCTTTCTTTCTTTCTTTCTTTTTTCTTTCTTTCCTTTCTTTCTTTTTCCTTCCTTCCTTCCTTCCTTCCTTCCTTCCTTCCTTCCTTCCTTCCCTCCCTTCTTCCCTCCTTCCCTCCTTCCTTCTTTCTTTCTTTCCTGTTTTTGAGATAAGGTAAGTCTCATTCTGTAGTCTAGGCTGGCCTCACATGCTTCCTGAGTGGTGGGTTACAGGTGTGAGCTGCCATGCCTGACTCAAATGTGGTTTGTTTAGCAGAGAACTTCCGCATTTATCTTGCTAGAAGCATTGTGTTTGTATTTGTTATTTGTAAATAGAAACTTACTTTCCCTACAGTTTCTTCTATGTGAAGGCATAAAGGAAGCACCTAGCTTAGAAGGGTTTGTTAATTTTACCATTCATATTTCTGGTCATTATCACAATAGCTGGATGTGAGGGACACTCCTGTAATTCTAGCACTTGTGTGTGTGTGTGGCGTGGGTGGGGGGCTGGGTAATAGATGGCAGAAGGATCAGGAGTTCAAGGTCACCCTCCACTGCATAGCAAGTTTGAGACTGAGGCCAATATGGGCCATTTAGGGCCCTAACTCAACCCCACCTCTAAAAAGTTGCAAGTCATTACCACAGCAAAGTATCACACATACTTTATAAAGCTAGCAAGCACTTATTGGCAAGTTTTGTTTCTCATTTCTAGAGAACTACACCTTTGCTCTTCATTCAGGCCTGATTTAGGGGACTGCATGGGAATCGAACTAAATGCTCGTGCTGTGGTCTTTCCTCTGATGCTGTGGCACAGTTTCAGCAAGTTGGTTGCTGCCCTTAAACCCAGGAAATACAGCACCTTTGCTTGCTCTCTTTCTTGTGTGTTGTTTTTTGAGATAGAGTCTGCTGTAGCTCAGGCTGACTTAAACTCACTGTCCAGTGGAGGAGACCTGGAGCTGACAACCCCTGGCTTATTCTTGGTACTTGTGAACACTTCTCAGTGTGAGCCAGCAGCTCACATGCTGTCCCCGCACGGAGCTGAACTCTTAGTGGTCTCACTCACTGGCCTTCTTTCCCTTCTTGTGTCTTTCAGAAGTTTTGCACCGCCCCTACGGCTCTGACGCTGAATCTCAGGCACTGAATGAAGCTATCAGGTGGAGCTCCAAGGAGAACTTGCTGGGAGCCACTGAGAGTGACCCTAATCTTTTTGTCGCACTTTATGACTTTGTGGCAAGTGGTGATAACACGCTCAGTATCACTAAAGGTGAGACTTCTCTCCATTCTGCTTCACAGTTTTCTCTGGCGGTCGGCCGAGAAATGAAGAGCCCGTGCTGCCTTCTGCCACTGCCGCTGACCAGATGATTGTGTCCAGGCGCTTCCGCTTCCTTCTTTCTTTCTCCTGTTTCTGGACGGCCGTCTCACAAACAGTCAGCTCTATTGTCAGGATTGATTAAGAATAGAATATGCTACAACACCTCAAGAAAGAGTCCAGATTGGTAGAACTTGTACTCTAAAACCCGCCGGCTTCCCTCTGTTCACACTGAACTGTGATTGAGACAAGCTGCAGTGCAGATCCCCCACTGGCCCTCAGGTCCTCTGCGTGGACTGTTACAGTCCACAGTGAGATCAGGAACTTAGACCCATCTCACTGAAGTGCACTTCGCTTCTGTTTAGGTTAGCAACATTTTCAGTTTTTGGAGCAAGACTTTCTGTAGAGAGAAAGTCGTCCAGTGCTTACATCGGGTGCATGGTTCTTATTTCTGTAGAGAGAAAGTCGTCCAGTGCTTACATCGGGTGCATGGTTCTTATTTTGTTGTTGTCCAGCTCAGTTGCACTGGCCTAGACAACCAGTTCTTTCTATGGGCTGGTGAAAGAACAGTTAGGAAGTGTCTCTCTCTCCTACTCTAATATCTTTAGAGAGTAAATGAGATTGTTTTCAGAGGCCAGTTCTTATAAAAAGGAAACACTAAGAACAAGACGAGATAAAATCACCAATCATTTTTTGAACACCAATGAAAATAGTGGAACTTTTATGAGAAAGAATAAGTGGGGACATTATCGTTCATCTTTGCACATGAATTGAGTTAGGCTAGTCCGCCTGTACTGTGTTTGTTTGTTTGTTTGTTTTCCTTTTTTGGGCGAGGGGAATAGGGAGCTAGCTGTAAAGCCTCCCACTATGAGGAAAATTTATCTCAAAATAATAGTTAAAATACTTGAAATTCTAACAAGTGATTATTTCTCGACAGATATCTTTGATTTATAAGGTTCAGAATGAAACAGTTAGTGGAAATGATGATGCTAAGTCAGACCAGTAGGCCTCCCCTGACCGTGAGGGAAAGTTCCATATAAGATTTTTATAAATGTTTGTTAACTTTGGAACCCCATGCAAGCTAGGCAAGTGCTCTACTGAAGAGCTACAACCCCAGACTCAGCATATCACTTTTTTTTTTTTTTTTTTTTTTTTTGGTTTTTCAAGACAGGGTTTCTCTGTGTAGCTTTGTGCCTTTCCTGGAACTCGCTTTGGAGACCAGGCTGGCCTCAAACTCACAGAGATCCGCCTGGCTCTGCCTCCCGAGTGCTGGGATTAAAGGCGTGCGCCACCACCGCCCAGCAACATATCACTTTTTAAGTGCTATCAAATTCACTAAAGCAGAATTCCTTAAAAGTGAGTTTCTTAAATTGTTGTACATGGATTTAATCTATGTGTATGGGCCTTTTGCCTGACTTCATGCATGTGTACCACATGTGTGCTTGGTGCCCCATGAAGGTCATGAGAATGGTTGCATCTCATGGAAATGGAGTTACAGGTGGTTGTGAGATAACATGTGGTGTGGGAATCTAGCCCAGGTCCCTGGAAGAGCAGCTAGTGTTTTTAAGTGCTGAGCCATCTCTCCGCCCCCAAACCAAGTTTCTCAGACTGGAGTATAGGCATGTTCAGACAGTGTACATGCACATGCACATAGGAGGTATAGGGAAGTGAAATGCAGGCTCTCCTCTAGTCATCGTGAGATAGGTATGCATGTGAAGGTTAGGGTTATTCTTACATAAAGTTTGAGGCTAAAACAAAGGACTGCAAGCCATGTTCTGTTGTGTGCTAGTCCTTTATATGGTAGTGTTCTCTGTGTACTTGTTTGCAAAGCAGTGATTAAGAACATGATTGCCTAGGTACAATTTTCTCTTGAGTATTTTCCAAGATGGTTCATTCACCAAGGAAACATTGATAAAGTCTTATTTATTTCTCAGTTACTAATTATAACAACCATTAGTATGCTGCTAAAGGACTGGGATTCCCTTTATCTCATGATTGACAATGGTTTTTCTTTAAAAACCATGAAATTTTTATATCGGGTTTTTTTTTTTTTTTTTTTTTTTTGGTTTTTCGAGACAGGGTTTCTCTGTGTAGCTTTGCGCCTTTCCTGGGACTCACTTGGTAGCCCAGGCTGGCCTCGAACTCACAGAGATCCGCCTGGCTCTGCCTCCTGAGTGCTGGGATTAAAGGCGTGCGCCACCACCGCCCGGCTTATATCGGTTTTTTATTAATAAAAAGATGTCAAACTGGGTGGCAGTGGTTGCACACACCTTTAATCCCAGTACTTGGGAGGCAGAGCCAGACAGATCTCTGTGAGTTTGAGGCCAGCGTGGTCTACAGAGCGAGATCCAGGACAGGCACCAAAACTACACAGAGAAACTCTGTCTCGGGGGAAAAAAAAAAGAGAGAGAGAGAGAGAGATGTCATGCTGAAGCCTCATTGTTGAGTTGTTATTATTAATGAGGCAGGGTCTCCTGTAACCCAAGCTTGATCTTTATACAAATCTGGGTAGCCTTGAACACCTAACCCTCCTTTCTTTACATTCCAAGTGTTGGAATTAGAGGTGTTTGACATCATGTCTGCCTTTCTTTAGTTTTAAGGAAAAAGAACTATCCTTTAAAACAAAAGTAACACTTACTATAGTTTTTCTTTTGAAAGTGATGGTTGGCTTGAATTAAATAAAGAAACATTTTGGGGCTCAGTGGTTTATGAGCACTTGCTGCTTCTGCAGAGGATCCTGGTTCAAATCCTGGCACCCAGTGATAACTCATAAAATCTGATACACTCTTCTAACTTCTTCAGGCACCATACACATACATGGTACACATACATACACGCTGGCAAAACGTTTATACACATTAAATAATAAATGTGTTTTGAAAAAAAGTTTGATGTTGACTATGTGGCTTTTGCTTGAAATTCCAGCATTTTGAGATACTAAAGCAAAAACATGTTGGCCAGGTGGGCTACAGAGTGAGACTCTGTCTTTAAATGAAAGTTTTAGAGAAAGCAGTATTGTGTACCTGTAAGCAGGAGGCTTGAGCCCAGGGGACTGATGTTATCTATCCCTGGATGACAGAGTGAGACCTCCCCCATAGCAAAAATAAAAAAATTCTTTCTAAGATTCCTGTCCTGACCTGTCAGTGTGTGCTTCCCTGTGCATTCCCATGGCTCTCCTCCTGTCTGTCCTGACCTGTCAGTGTCTGCTTCCCTGTGCATTTCCATAGTAATCAAGACTTCCAGAGTAGAAACTGCTAACTAAAAAGGGGAGGGGGGAAAAAGGCAAAGCCTTAGGATTTTTTGGCTTTATCCTGATGATGATAGCCTATATTAAGCAGTTTTGTATAAGTGTTTAAGGAAGCAGCAGTGTAGAGACACACACACACACACACACACACACACACACACACACACACACACACACAGAGTTTTCCTAGCAAGTTCCTTTCTTTTGTTCCTATAGTTAGCTACTGTGCATCTGCGCATTTGTGGATTTCCACCACTATACCAGACACTCTTGTCTTATTATCTGTATACAGTGTATAATGTGTGCATGTATGAGTTTCTTCACAGACCTCTGAGTGCTTTCTCCCACATCCTGGTGTCTTCTCAGGTGAAATGGTAGGGTGAATAGAAAGCCGTGTTATGGTAAACATAGTGTAGGCCATGGGTGAAAGGTAGATGGCTACCACGATAAGTCTGAATTTTCCCTCAGCAGCCTTGGCCTGGTGTCTTCTGGGCCCTGTCTGTAGGTTGATTGCCTTCTTTCTGCTCTCTGGCACTGAGGTAGCAGGTGTGAACTCTATAGAAAACCTTGTGTCTCTTGGAAATTAGAGTCCTTACATGAACATTTATGTTATCATTGCTATCTGTTACTTTGTCTGTTTTGACAGAGAATCTTCTAGTCTGTGCTGCAAGTATGGGCAAAGTGTTTATTGACGTCTGAAGCAGATGTTTCCAGTTTAATAGTGACATCAAGAGAGTGAAGCTGATACAAAGATTCACCAAGTGATTTAGATTTGGGGTTCCAACTTCACAGTTATTTTCTGTTTGCACAGACTAATTTTAGAGAAAAGGGAAGAGTGATTCATGCTTTCTGGGAAACGGGAAGAACTGGGAAAACGGAACTTTGAACCCTTGAGTCCTGGAAACACTTGTGCTGTGAGAGTCCTCCCCACCCCTCCCGTCCTCTACATAGCTGTCGTGCTGACACCTCCTTTGGGTTGGAGTCTTCCGGGGGTGTTGGGGCAGGAGGTGTGTGCTTACATTGACTGCTCTGTTGCTTCACTGTCTTCTGAAAATTGCAGTAACTTTGTATCTCACACATCTCATTCCTAAGCTTTTGTTATCAGTATGTATGTATGTATGTATGTATGTATGTATGTATGTATGTATGTATAGCATCTCTCTCTTAAGTGAAAGTAAATTTTATTTTTCTTTTGAAGAGTAAGTGCTATCTAGGTGTTAGTACAGTTCGGGAGACTGAAGAATGGTCATGAGTCCAAGTCTCGCCAGCCTAGGCTACATGAAACTGTCTTAGAAGAAGGGGTGGGCAGGTGGGCTTGGTAGATGGTTCGTGATTAAGAGCGCTTACTGCTTGCTCCTTCAGAGGATCAGAGTTCAGTTCTTAGTATCCATATTGGATAACTCACAGTTGCCTGTTATTCCAGTCCTAGGGAATCCAACACTCCTTTCTGGACAATCACACATGCATATTCTCTCTCTCTCTCTCTCTCTCTCTCTCTCTCTCTCTCTCTCTCTCTCTCTCTCTCTGTGTATATATATATATATATATATATATATATATATATATATATATATATATATATCTGTCTCACACACACACACAGAGACACCCCAGCACTGTCATTTTCTAGCTATTTGAGTAAACTTTCTATACTAACTTAGCACAATATATAGATATATAGTCTCTACAAGACATTTGTAGTGGCATATAACCTTTAAAAACCTGTACCATCAGAACATTTCTTGAGTAAACTTTCTATACTAACTTAGCACAATATATAGATATATAGTCTCTACAAGACATTTGTAGTGGCATATAACCTTTAAAAACCTGTACCATCAGAACATTTCTTGTTAGGCTCATGTGGTTTACGCTACGAAGCAGAGACTAATCAGGATATTGGTGCACAAGCACCAAAGTTCTTGGTTCATTTTTTAGTGAAGTTGAAGTTTGACACTCCACTGCTCAGTCTTAAAGAATCTTAACATTTTCTCTTTGATTCTGTGATGACTTCATGGATAGGTGAAAAACTACGAGTCCTTGGTTACAACCAGAATGGCGAGTGGAGTGAAGTTCGCTCCAAGAATGGACAGGGTTGGGTACCAAGCAACTACATCACTCCAGTGAACAGCCTGGAGAAACATTCCTGGTACCATGGACCCGTGTCCCGCAGCGCAGCGGAGTATCTCCTCAGCAGCCTTATCAATGGCAGTTTCCTGGTTCGAGAGAGTGAGAGCAGCCCTGGGCAGCTGTCCATCTCACTCAGGTATGAGGGACGTGTGTATCACTACAGGATCAATACCACCACAGACAGCAAGGTAAGACCTGTCAGCAACCACCTGTACGTGTGGAGATGTATTGAACAGGGTTAAAGTAGAAAATCATTTTTATGTCTGATGTAAAATAAAGTATTGCCTAATTGTGTGAGTTTGGGCTGTTTATCATGTTAGAGCTTCCTTCTTTCAAAACTACTCGGTAATAAGGTTAAAATTGTAGATAATAGTTTAAGGGTAAGCTATATTTGAAGGTGAGGAATGAAGTGATATATACATGTTAGCTGTTTTAATCAATAGCACAAACCCACACCAAGTACATAAAAGCAGAAGTTACAGATCAGCTGTAAGCTTTGGTGAGTAAACCATTAAAAAGTTCATAGAGTAAGGATTCAGAGTTTGGAGACTGGTGTTTCTCATTAGTATATGGTAATATAAATAGATCACCCAGCCACTTAGAAACTTGAATGTTGGGAAGTTCAGTCTCAGTAGAGTGAATGTGTTAGACCGGAACTTTTGAGGGCTAGAGAGAGGGCTTAGTGTGAAGAGTCCTGGCTACTCTTGCAGGGGCCCTAGATTCAATTTACAGCACCCCAGTTCTGAGAGATCCAATGCCCTCCTCTGGCCTCCATGGGCACCAGGTATACATGAGGTGCACAAATGTGGGAAAACACTCATACACATAAATAAAGTAATTAAATTTGAAAGCAAAAATGGAAGGTAAATTATCAGGCCCACACTTAGGTCAGTTGTTCTAGTGAAAGGTTGGTTTAGGTTGAGCCCCCTTTCCTCTCACTGTATGACACACACAGGAAGCTGGGAATAAAGGCGTGAGCCACGGCCGCCTGGCCACTTTTGAATTTTTATTTATTTATTTATTTATTTATTTATTTATTTATTTATTTATTTATTTATTTTTGAGACAGGGTTTTTTTGTGTAGCTTTGTGCCTTTCCTGGAACTTGCTTTGTAGACCAGGCTGGCCTCGAACTCACAGAGATCCACCTGCCTCTGCCACCACCGCCTGGCATACTTTTGAATTTTTTAATGATGTATAATGTGCTGTGTGTCCGAGTGTGGGTGAGTTTGTGCATGTGGGTGCAGTGCCCACATAGAGCAGAAGAGGACTTGAGACTCCCTGGAACTGGAGTTGTGTGCTTCCTGGCATGGGTGCTGGAGACCAAACTCCAGTCCTCTCCAAGAGCAGTATGCACTTTTAACCACTAAGCCATCACTTCCGTCTCCTCCTTGTCTGTTATTAAACCCCATTTTGTAGGATTGTAAAGATTAAATGAAGCAATTTTTGTAAAGTTTAAAGCTAATACAGCATGGGCAATACATTATTAGTTTTCTTTCTCTTTTTGTACCGTTATACAAGCATAGTGTATTGTCTATGGCCTGGTGCAGCTAGAGTTTTCCTGCCTGGCCCACTGTCAGGACAAATCTCTCTCACCTGCCAGTCCCACAGCTGCTCAGACCCAACCAAGTAAACACACAGAGACTTATATTGCTTACAAATTGTATGGCCATGGCAGGCTTCTTGTTATCTAGTTCTTCTATCTTAAATCAACCCATTTCTATTAATTTATAAGTTGCCACATGGCTCGTGGCTTACCCATATCTTAACGTCTTCTCATGGGGGCGGCTGGCAGCGTGTCTGTGTGTGTCTCTCCCCCCTCTCTCTCCTCCGCTCTCCCCCTCTCCCCCCCTCCCCCCTCTCCCCCTCTCTCCCCCTCTCCCCCTTCCCCCCTCTCTCCCCCCTCTCTCTCCCCTTCTCTCTCCCCCCTCTCCCCCCTTCCCCCCTCTCTCCCCCCTTCCCCCCTCTCTCCCCCCTTCCCCCCTCTCTCCCCCCTTCCCCCCTCTCTCCCCCCTCTGCCCTTCTCTCTCCCCCCTCTCCCCCTCTCTCTCCCCTCCCCCTTCCCCCTCTCTCCCCCTCCCCCTCCCCCTTCCCCCCTCTCTCCCCCCTCTCTCTCCCCTTCTCTCTCCCCCTCTCCCCCCTCCCCCCCTCTCTCCCCCCTCTGCCCTTTTCTCTCCCCCCTCCCCCTTCCCCCTCCCCCTCTCTCTCCCCCTCTCTTTCCCCCCTCTCTCCCCCTCTCCCCCCTTCCTACCCTCCCCCTCTCTCCCCTCCCCTCTCTCTCCTCCCTCTCCTCCCCCTCTCTCCCCCCTCTCTCTTTCTCTCCACCCTCTCTCCCTCCCTCTCTCTCCCCCTCTCCCCCCCTTCCCCTCCCCCTCCCTCTCCCTCCCTCCCAGTTCCCAGAATTCTCTTCTCTGCTTGTCCTGCCTATACTTCCTGCCTGGCTACTGGCCAATCAGTGTTTTATTTATAAACTAATCAGAGCAACACACTTAACATACAGAACATCCCACAGCAGGTAATGTAACAAGACCCAACAGTTATTAGTTGTTTGCTTTTGTTTGTCTCTTGACAAATACCAGAGAGAAACAGTTAACAAACATTTATATTAACTCACGATTTCAGAGAGTTCAGTCTGTTTCTAGCGGCTTTTTCTAATTCTTTCAGGCTGTGGTCAGGTAGAACATCATGGTGGGGTCATGTGGTGGAGCAGAACTGCTTGCCTCATAGCTACCAGAAAGGGAGCAGAGAGAAGCAGCGTACTGATTGGGCCGGCCAGCTGAAGAACAGCCAGTCCTTCAGCATAAGTCTTTTGGGGGACACTGTGCATCTGCTCCCTGACACAAACACAGCAGAAATGATCACGCCGATATGCCAGACTTAGGCAAGAACATTGATTCACAGCCACAGTATTTATGGAAGTCCCAAGCAGTGTAATTTATTAATAAATGATCATATATTGTTAACATAGAATCTCCTACAGAAACAGAAATGATCATGATATTCTATATACAAGTCCATAGGAAGCTGTGACCTACTGGCTACCTATATCACCATATCTATTTGTTTCTGTAGTATCTGAAGATACTTTCTATTTCTAAGTAGACCTGAGTAGTTGCTACAGAGACTATGTAGCCCCAAGCCTAAGATACCTGGTTTCTATCCCTTTACAGAGAATTTTTCTGGCCTCTCTTATAGGTGAGTTTCATACACCTAAAGTTGATTGACAGAGTAATATTTGCCAGAGAATTGTGTGGAGAGGAGTGTGTGAGTGATCACTAATGGCTATGGATTCTCTGTGGGGAATGATGAAAGTGCTTTGATGGAGTTGGATAGTGGTGGTTGATAGCGAGCCTTGTAAATGTACCGAAGGCTATGGAATTGTATACTGTAAAATACGGAATTTTATAGCATGTGAGTAACAGTTTAGTAAAGGGAACTGACAGAAAGCAGACACTAGGTAACACATTGTATGGTGTCTTTTACGTGCAGGTCAGACAGAGCTAGTTCCACATACTGGGAAGTATACGTCATGGAAACCTTTGCAGGGGTCAACAGCTAGCTAGCAAGGAGTCTGGGTGCTAACTTTTTGTTTGTTTTAAACAATGGCTTGTTATTTATCTAAACAGTAGCCTGGGCATGATGGCACATCCCCTAATCCCAGCACTCATGAAGCAGAAGCAAGAAAATCACAAGTTGGAGACCAGACTGGGTTATATAGAGGGACTCTGTGTAAATCATTCAGTTAATTAAAAACAAACAAATCATACTCCTTGGCGTTGGTGGCACACGCCTCCCAGCACTTAGGAGGCAGAGGCAGGCCTGGTCTACAGAGCGAGTTCCAGGACAACCAAGGCTGTTACACGGAGAAACCCTGTCTGGAAAAACCAAAAAAGAAAAAAGATAAAGCTAAAGACTATCTTATTTTATACTTCTTACTAATTATCATAAATTAACAAGCATCTTGTTAATAACTCTGAAATCCAATTATATCTCTCTCTTTTTTTCTTTTTCTTTTTCGAGACATGGTTTCTCTGTGTAGCTTTGCGCCTTTCCTGGAACTCACTCTGTAGCCCAGGTTGGCCTCAAACTCACAGAGATCTGCCTGCCTCTGCCTCCCAAGTGCTGGGATTAAAGGCGTGCACCACTACCGCCTGGCTTATATCTCTTTTTTTAATGGCCTAGACATTTGAAAAGGATGTTGTAAAAATAAATAAAAATTATAATTATGTGATGATTAAGTAAAAATTATACCCATATAACCTCCCAATATCTAAATTAGTGGCTGTCAGTTTATGTTCCCCATGGATGGTAAGTCCTACTTTATTAGCTTAGGAGGCAGCTCCTGATTGTCTATTTTAATCACATCTCTCAGGTTTGGGTTGTACAGTCTATTTTTTTGTGGCAGTTTCTTGCTCTAGCATAGGCTGACTTAAAATTCCTGGCGTTCCTCCTCCGGAGTCTTCTGAATTACACATTCTGTAGTCTTGCTGCTTAGAAATAGTCTGAGGACTAGCCTGCCTGATGTCTCTGCAGCTGTGTTGGACATTTCTCCTTCAAGGCTAGTTTAGAAAGAATAGGAAGGATGCTTACACTGAGACTGAGCCATCTCCCTTGCCCTGAGCGTTGACATTTACTTTGCCTTAATTGCGATAACCTTCTGGAGCGCTAGTAGCACTCGCATACACCACCTGTAATCCCTGTGCCTTGCAGGTGGGGGCAGAAGCATCAGGCATTCAAGGCCAGCCAGGCCTACATAATGGAGACCCTGTCTCAAAACAACAACAGCACAAACAGAACACTAGGCCAGGCACAGAGGTGCACACCTTTAATTTGAGCATTCTAGAGGCAGAGGCAGGTGGATCTCTGTGAGTTCAAGGACATAGTTGAGACCCTGTCTGAAAACAAACAAATGTCCCATCTTCATGTCCCTTGGGCAGTGAAGTGTATGCTGTGAAAAGGTCCCTTGTTGTCTGGAGTTGCTGAGTCCCCTCCTCTCCCCAGGTGTACGTGACTGCCGAGAGCCGCTTCAGCACCTTGGCAGAGCTTGTCCACCACCACTCGACGGTCGCCGACGGGCTAGTGACCACACTCCACTACCCAGCACCCAAGTGTAACAAGCCGACTGTCTACGGTGTGTCCCCTATCCATGACAAATGGGAAATGGAACGGACAGATATCACCATGAAGCACAAACTTGGGGGCGGTCAGTATGGAGAGGTTTATGTTGGCGTCTGGAAGAAATACAGCCTTACAGTTGCAGTGAAAACATTGAAGGTGGGTTGCTGAGAGTTAAGTTTCCAGGCCTTTTTGTGGAAGATGAGTGTGCCCTTCTCCAGCTTTGGAACACTTTCCGCCCACTGGTGCCAAACCCTTCAGCAAATGGCGGTGATTAACCCTAGTGCCGTTGCTGACATCGCAGGGCAGATTATTCACTGCAGTACAACCCACATGCGGGAAAGGCTTGTCTCTGGAGGCTGGTGATAGAGAGCGCAGTGGGAATTTAGAAGCAAATTAGAAGTTCTGCTGAGAACAAGCCCTGCTGAGCAGAGTTCGCCATGCGGGCTGCGAATCATGGACTCCCTATTTTGGTCTCAAGCCTCCTGCCTTTTGTTTCTCCCTTCTGCCTCCTTGCAATTAGCGACACCCTTTTTAGTTAGAGTAAGAATGACAGGGTGTCACTAAGTAGTCCAGGTTGGCCTTCCAGTCACAATCCTCCTGCCTTAGCCTCCCAAGTGCTACCATGCACTACCATGCCCTGCTCGATCACTTCTTGTTTGTGAACTCGTGAAAGTCCCTTTTCTGATCCCAGTGTCTTTTTTTAAGTGTCCTGGTATAAAATCGCAGAGTTGTCCGTCATGCGGTACCCTGGTGTGTCATTTATGTGTGTCACTTATGTGAGCTGTCCTCATAGGTGGTAGTCAGCCCCGTTGACAGAGCATGTTGGGGATGTGAAGGAAGCAGGGAGGCCTTGCGCATGCACTTTGTTCTTTAAGAAACGCAGGACCTAACCAGAAGGTCAAACACTAACTAGCAGAAAACAGTCTCAGCCCTCCCTCTGTTGGGGTGAGCTGTAAGATGAGGCTGTGGAATTTTGCTACCCTGTTTATTTTTACTCCAATGTCTGACACTAGATAAATTCAAGGACAGTATACTTAATTGTTCTTCTGTAGAGCATATTAGGTTGTGTAAAATTTCTTAAGGTAATATGCTAAAATACTCAAATGATCCCTTTTACTTTAAAAAAAATTATTTTTATTGTACGTCTGTGAGTGTTATGCCTGTATTTTAAGTTCACCACATGGGTGCAGTGCCCAGGGAGGCCAGAAGAGGGCATCAGAGTCCTTAGAACTAGAGATGGTTATGAGCATGTGGGTGCTGGGGACCAGACCCAGGTCCTCTGCAAGAGCAACAAGTGCTCTTAACCACTGAGCATCTCTCCAGCCCTTTACTTTTATACTTGAAGTAGGCTTATGAACTGACTTACCTGAATGAGAGGGAGGTTTGACCTCCTTTTTGTCTGTCTGTCTGTCCGTCTTACCTACTGTCTGGCTTTAACAGGAAGACACAATGGAGGTGGAGGAGTTCCTGAAAGAAGCTGCCGTGATGAAGGAAATCAAGCATCCTAACCTAGTGCAGCTGTTAGGTAAGAAGCCCAAACTCTAGGTGTCCTTAGGGCCGTGCGCCCATCCAGCCCCTTGTTGTCTTCAGATCACGTTTGTGCGGAATGTTCTGTTTTGTTTCAGCACCATGGTGGAAATGGATGTAATCATAAGCTGGGGGTGCAGACCAGGGATAGAGCTAGTAAGCATCAAGTCTTAGGCTTAGTACTGCAAACACACACATATACATACTCATCCCTTATCATTTAACTAGTAGACTGTTTAAAACAAAAAACAGTGGCCCAAGTTGATGGCTTTTTTAAAAAAAAAAGCTATTTTATTTTTCATTTTGATTTATATGTATGCATGTTTTGCTTGGATGTATATGTCTGCAGTGCCTAAGGAAGCCAGAGGAGGACATTGGATCCCCTGGAACTAGAGTTATAGATGGCTGTAAGCCTCCCTGTGTGTTTTAGGAATCAAATCTGGGTCCTCTGGAAGAGCAGCCAGTGCTCTTAACCACTGAACCAACTCTCCAGCCCCTTTAATTTTTTTTTTTTCCTTAGTTTATGTGTTTGGGTGCTTTGCCTACATGTGTGTCTGTGTACTACATGTGTGCCTAGTGCCCTTGGAGGCCAGAGGACAGCATTGGATTTCCCGGAACTAGAGTTACAGATGGTTGTAAATTGCCATGTAGATGCTGGGAATCAAACCCAGGTCCTCGGAAGAGTAGCCAGTGCTCTTAAATGCCCATTCATCTCCCTAGCCACAAATTGATTGCAATATGTAAAGCTGTCTAGTTTGTGATTTCCCCAGATTCAGAGTTCACAAGCATTCAATATGGCATCAAAAAATTGTCGTGAAATATTAAGAGACATTAAGCAAAGGACCACTGAAAAACTGAATGAAAACTTGTAGCTGATCAGTTTATTCAAGCAGGAAATGGATGTGCTGCAATGGGTTAGTTTCTTACCTGTTCGGACTACAAAGGAGCCTTTGATTAAACATTTTCCCTTTTTAAAAATCAGGCCTTTGGGCGGGGGCGGTGGTGGTGGGGGCGGTGTTGGTTCAAGACAGGGTCTCACTATGTAACCCTGGCTATCCTGGAATCTACTCTGTAGACCAGACAGGCCTTGAACTCACAGAGATCCACCTGCCTCTGCCTCCCAAGTGCTGGGATTAAAGGCGTGCACCACCACTGGCAGGCTGGATCTTTTTTTTGAATATTCAAATTAAGTAAGCTAGGTAAAAAGAAAAATAATTAATATGGACTCTGCCATGTATCAATGAAATCCTTAACTATGAAGGCAGTTTTTTACAAAATAGTTAGAGGCAGCCAGGTGGTGGTGGCACACGCCTTTAATCCTGGCACTCAGGAGGCAGAGGCAAGTGGATCTCTGTGAGTTTGAGGCCAGCCTGGGCTTCAGAGCAAGATCCACGACAGGCACCAAAACAACACAGAGAAACCCTGTCCCAACCCCCCTGCCCCCCGAAAACAAAAAGACAGAGTAGTTGGAGGCAAGCGAGCGTCAGCACACACTTTAGTTCTGTTCCTTTCGATTAGCAGGGTTTGCACACAGTTGAAGTAGGGAATGGGGCACATACAGAGCTCTAGGAGGTTTGGTCGCACTCCTTGTCAGGTTCATAGAAGAGAGTGCTTTTGCTTTCCAGACAGATGCTGAGGCAGTCTGTGAAGCTGCAGAGGACAGCTCAGCAGGACAGACTCTTGGCAACCTGTTTTTAAGTTTTTGTTGTATTTATTTCATAGAAAGTGGTGAAGATTGTCCACTTGTTCTTGGTCAGGTGTGTGTACCCTGGAGCCGCCCTTCTACATTGTGACGGAATACATGCCGTATGGGAATCTGCTTGACTATCTCCGGGAGTGCAGCCGCGAGGAGGTGACGGCCGTGGTTCTGCTCTACATGGCCACTCAGATCTCTTCCGCCATGGAGTACCTGGAGAAGAAGAATTTCATTCATAGGTGTGTAACCCTGACCACTGCGTGTGACTAACCGCAAAGCTGTCTTGCTTGACAGGAATGTGAAGGCGATAATTGGCCAGAACATTTCACACGGAGAAAATCTCTCTCTGTTAAGGTCTCAAACCAGAAAGCCCGGTTGCCTAACACTACATCTAGGATCCTTTTGCTCCATCTAGTGGCCACAGTTTTGAAGTATGATTCTGTCCTAGGAAAATGTTTTAAAGCCTTCAGGGAGGGGTCTGTTGCTTCCCCTTCAAATGTATCCCATCATACTTAAAAAGGAATTCATTTTGTCTAACGTCTGTCTTCTGCCTCCTTGTGGTTACTCAGTGAGTGGTAGAAATTAGCAAGTTTCCATGTTGGTGATTATCATAAAGTAGTACAGTGTTAGTTAGCATTTCCTTATCAACTGGTTGTAGCACAAAGAACCAAGACTAGAGTGTTCAGACCCGTATCAGCCGGAATAATGCAGGGTTCTCTTTCCCATAGAGATCTTGCTGCACGGAACTGCCTAGTGGGAGAAAACCACGTGGTAAAAGTGGCTGACTTTGGTTTAAGTAGACTGATGACTGGAGATACCTACACTGCTCACGCTGGAGCCAAATTTCCTATTAAATGGACAGCGCCTGAGAGTCTGGCCTACAACACCTTTTCAATTAAATCTGACGTCTGGGGTAAGATCGATACAACTTCTCACATGCGCTCCATTTTATTTATTTATTTATTCATTCATTCATTTATTTATTTTTATTTATTTGTTTGTTTGTTTATTTGTTTATTTATTTATTTAACATTAGCTATGGCCGGCCTGGTATTCACTATATAGCCTAGGCCAAAACTTGGGGAAGTTCTTCAGCCTCCGTCTCCTGAGTGAGGACCATAGGCATGTACCACCATGCCCAGCTAATTCCCTTAGTTCATCAGAGCTTTTATGATGTTTAGATAAAAAAAGTACTTGGAGAGGGTGGTGGAAACAGCTGGGGAGGAATAAACACCTGTAATACCATCACTCAGGCATCTGGGATAGGAGGCCTGGGAGTTTGGAGTGAGGCCAGCCTGAGCTACTTACTTAGCATGTTGAAGGGCAGCTTGAGTTACGTAGGAATGGGGTATAGTTTAGTGGTAGAGTACTTGTCTGGTTGCTACAAGACAAGTACAAGACAGTACTTGTCTGGTTGCTACAAGACATTCCCCAGCATAGGGGTTGGGAGCATAGACAATGGGAACACTATAAGTGTTACAGTTGGGGCATGGTAGCAGATGCCTGTACTTCAGCATTCTGGATGCTCAGATGCTCAGATCCTTGAGTCCTACCTGCAATATGGTGAGTCTCTGTGTGAACAACAAAGTAGCTTGGCATGGCAGCATAGGCTCTGATCTCAGCACTCAGGAGACTGAAGGAGTAGGAGCACCTAGTGGAGTACAGGCCAGCCTGGGCTATAGAGTAACTTCTAGGCCAGCCTGGACTATGTAAGAGCCTGTCTGGGGTGAGGGGTGGGGCGCTTGAAAGAGGGTCCAGTCCAGACCCCATCCTGCACTGGAGTTGTGATAGTCCTTCCTCTCTAAAGCTTCCTGCTCTTCGTGTGAGGTTTGGCTCACTTACGGAATTCTGTCATGGGGAACACTCTGTGTAAGAAATGTCTGATAATGCTTCATTGAGAATTTGTCCTTGTCCTGGATCTAATTTCTACTGCCCCGAGAAGTAGAATGACTAACTAGAGAGACTCAGTAGACCAAATTAGTATAGAAATTTGGAGTTGGGGCCAATCGAAATTATTTTTTAATCTCTTTACACAGCTTTTGGAGTACTGTTGTGGGAAATTGCTACGTATGGGATGTCGCCATATCCGGGTATTGATCTATCTCAAGTCTATGACCTGCTGGAAAAGGGATATCGAATGGAACAGCCTGAGGGATGCCCCCCCAAAGTATATGAACTTATGAGAGCATGTAAGTGTTTTACATGTTTGAGCTTTGAAAAAGAACCAGCAGCAGGATGGTTAATGAAATCTGCACCATTTCTGCTCTCAGCCTTAGAATGGGTCTGGTCTCATTAACAGTTAAAGATCTTGTCATCGACAGGGCCAGTTGGCACAGTGCATGATGTACCATTGAGTCTCATTGGAATCCTAAGAATAGTTGTCTATGGCCCAAATATAGAGCCAATTTCTGAAAAAAACATTTGTATATTTGATAGACAATGAGAAACTGAGTTCGCATAATAAGTTACGAGGATTGGCTGCTCTCAGCTAGATGTGAATGGTTACTGAAGACTGTGATTGTTAAAGTAACCTCAAATGGGCTGGGAGGTGGCTCAGTGGGTAAGAGCACTTGCGCTGTAAGCATGGCGACTTGAGTTAGAAAGCCTGGCTCAGCTGCACATGCCTGTAACCCCAGCATCAGGGAACTCACGGGGTCCAGGAGCTCACTGGCCAGCCAGCATACTTAGCTGAAGTGGCAAGCTTCTGGTCAGTGAGAGGCCCCATGTCAAGGCAGTAAAGCATAGAACAGTGGAGAAAGACGTCCTGTGTTTTCTGTGGCTTCCACATGCCTAGCATGTGTACATCTAAGTGCACACTCCCATGCATTTACTACACACAAAACAGCCAAAAAGTAATCTCTTATGAATGTGGACAAAACATCAGACTCCTGCTGAGGATGCAGCACACTTAGGAATATGTGTAGTAGTGAAAATGTGCTTGTGTTCACACAGTACTGTATCATTACTTTTTTACTGTATTATTTTCTCATTGAGCATTTGTGTCTCATGCTACCCTTTATCAAGTGGATACTCTATAATCTTCCTGATAGCTTGTTAAACTTAGGAACCTGGGTGTGCTTTGTTGTTTTTTGTTTGGTTGGTTCTAAAGACAGTGTGTCACCATGAAGCCCCAGGTGGCCTGAAACTCACTGTGTCCGGCAGACTGGCCTTGATCTCATAGAGATCTGCCTGCCTCTCCCTCCTCGATGTTGGGATTAAAGGTATGTGCTACCATGTGTAGCCAGTCATTTTTTAAATTACATTGATTTATTTATGGGGCTTGAGTGTGTGTACTGCAGCATTGGTGTGGGAGCCGCGAGAAGTTGTGCGAGTCAGTTCTCTCATTCCACCGTGTGGAAGCCAGGGATTGAACGCAGGTTGTCAGGCCTGGTGGGAACACTTACCACTGAGCTATCCTACCAGCCCCCAGCTCACTTCTCTAATAGAGGGAAATTTGCCATTTTCTAAGCATTGTCCCTAACTTTTCTTCATTTTTTGTAGTAGTGGGAATGGGAACCAAAGCTAAATAGGACCAGCACAAGGAGTGGGCACTCACACCTCAGGGCTGGACCAGGAGTTAGCCACACCTCCCCCGTTCCCATGCACATGCCGCACTCTGATAGGCACACGCTGTGGTGCACGGACCCCATCCCTGGTGTGCTGCCGGGCATGACTGTCAGGAAGGCTGTAAGTTCTCTTCTCCTGCAGGCTGGAAGTGGAGCCCTGCCGACAGGCCGTCTTTTGCTGAAACCCATCAAGCGTTTGAAACAATGTTTCATGACTCCAGCATCTCTGAAGGTAAGTCTTCCGGCGGGAGGTGACTACTGGTGGCCAGTTGCAGGGCAGTGATGGTCATTTCAAAAATGAGCAGCTCCTACAGTTTTTAAGGGTTGAAAGTTGACTTTTGACCTTTATTATTCTTGTGTTACTGCTGTTTTACACCTTTTTAGTTCTGTGTTTTTCTTTTTTCTTTTTTTCCCTTTCTTTTGTTTGTTTTTTTGAGACAGGATTTCAGTGTATATCCCCGGCTCTTACTCTGTAGACCAGACTGGCCTCGAACTTACAGAGATCTGTCTGCCTCTCTGCCTCCCGAGTACTGGGATTAAAGGTATGTGCCATCACCACCCTGAAGTTTGGGGTTTTCTATGTCATATTTCATTGAAATTACATTTTGATTTGAAATTTACTCGGTCTCTACAAAGAAAATCAGTAACTTCAATAGTTCTTAACACAATACGAAGAAGATGGTAAAAATAAGTGTGAAAGCGTTCTAGGGCCTGAAAAAAAAAAAACTCAGCAGTCAGCACACTTAGTGCTCTTGCAGAGGGCCAGAACCAGAATTTATTTCTCAACACCCACTTTGGGTGACTCACAAATACCTGTAACTCTTTGACTCTAGAGCAGTGGTTCTCAGCCTATGGGTTGTGACCCCATGGGGGGTTGTTGAACGACCCTTTCACAGGGGTCACATATCAGATACTAAAGGGTCATGACATTAGGAAGGTTGAGAACCATTGCTCTAGAGGCTCCAGTGCCCTCTCTTGGTCTCTGTGTGCACTTGCACTCATGTATGTATACCCACACATATGTACATAATTAAAAATAAATCTTTAAAAACAAATAGATTCTAGGCCAGGCGGTGGTGACGCACACCTTTAATCCCAGCACAGAGAGGCAGGCAGATCTCTGTGAGTTCAAGGCCAGCCTGATCTACAGAGCAAGATCCAGGACAGGCACCAAAACTACACAGAGAAACCTTGTCTCGAAAAATGAAATAAACAAACAAACAAATAAATATATTCTAATTCTAAACCACATCTAAGGCAAGGCCTAGACCCCCTCCCCATCAATATCACGAAATTTCATTTCTAGAAATAGAGTGTAACCAAGATTTCTCTAGACAGATGTGTCATCTGAGTATAGTTTATAATACTGAAAAACGTAGGAACAACCCAAGCATCTAGTGGACTGTTGATTGTAACACCACATAACTGAATACTTAAATTATATTCTTTTTTTTTTTCTTTTCGAGACAGGGTTTCTCTGTGTAGCTTTGCGCCTCTCCTGGAACTCACTTGGTAGCCCAGGCTGGCCTCGAACTCACAGAGATTCTCCTGGCTCTGCCTCCTGAGTGCTAGGATTAAAGGCGTGCGCCACCACCGCCCAGCTTTAAATTATATTCTTAAATATATTAAGCTATCACTAGAGATAAGCTTGTCCGTCCTTACTCAAGACATGGGTGTATGGACACATACAGGAAGTTGCTTGATTTTGCATGTAGTACTCATACCCAAAGAAGTCGAGCAGTAAGCAGTGTGGTGGCACACCAGTTCTTTCAGCACTCGAGGCTGAGGCTGGAAGATCCCAAGCTCAAGGCTAGCCTGAGCTATATCATGAGACTGTGACAGTTAGTACCCTGCTTTCTCGTGCTCTCGAGTGAGAGCCTGTTCTTGGAGAGCTAAGAGTACAGAAGTCCCAGTTTCACCTGTCTGTTAGACACTGTGGTACAGTTCTGAAGTTTGTACAGACTGTCCTCCCTTTATCATTGCACAGGATTGATCTTGTAATTTAAGTTTTCAAATGTTAGAAAAATTAGAGCCGGGCGGTAGTGGCGCACGCCTTTAATCCCAGCACTCGGGAGGCAGAGCCAGGCGGATCTCTGTGAGTTCGAGGCCAGCCTGGGCTACAAAGTGAGTTCCAGGAAAGGCGCAAAGCTACACAGAGAAACCCTGTCTCGAAAAACCAAAAAAAAAAAAAAAAAAATTAGAAGTTGAATTTTGTCTTCCTCTAGTGATTAATCACATGAGGTAAGAAAAAAAGGGAAACAGAAGTACATCATCAACATTTCAATAAAAATATCTTCCTCCTCCTTCCCTGAGTTGTCCATAACACACACACACACACCAAATAAATGTAATAAAAATTCTTTGAGTGGTAACATTTTTACAATTTAATTGATTGTGTTTCATTTTTGTTTAGGAATAAAGAGTGTACTTTTGCCTCAGTAAAAGCGACAAAGCTCAGCCAGGCAATGGTGGCGCATGCCTTTAAACCCAGCAACATGGGAGGCAGAGGCAAGTGGGTCTCCGGGAGTTCAAGGCCAGCCAGGGCTACATAGTGAGACCGTTTCAAAAACAAAACAAAACACATTTTGGGGCTGGAGAGGTGGCTCAGAGGTTAAGAGCACTAGCTGTTTTTCCAGAGGGTCTGAGTTCAATTCCCAGCACCTACGTGGTGGCTCACAACCATCTATAATAGATCTGGTGCCCTCTTCTGGCCTGCAGGCAGAACACTGTCTACATAATAAAATCTTTTTAAAAAGTCACAAAACTCATGACTTGGTTAAATCAGCCAAGGGTGACCGATAGAGTGAACACTATTTTGATAATCAGGTTTCGTTTGAGGGAGGGTTGTTTTTGTTTATTAGTTTTTGTTTTTTAATGTTGGTACTTGGGCTCGAACCCAAGGTTTTCATGCATGTTAGACAGATACTCTACCACCCGAGTGACATCCCAAGCTCAAAAGAATCAGGCTTTTGTTTTTCCCATTGCAATTGGTTAGTTGGTGTGTGTGTGTGTGTGTGTGTGTGTGTGTGTGTGTGTGTGTGTGTGTGTGTGAGAGAGAGAGAGAGAGAGAGAGAGAGAGAGAGAGAGAGAGAATTGATTTGTTTCACTTGCATTAAATGGAATAAATTATATTACTCTCCTTTTCAGTGAAAACTGCAACCTAAAAATAGAAATCTCTCCAGACAGGCGTCCCCTTTATTCAACATCCGAACAGCACTTAGTAAGGGAGGCTCTCCAAATGCCCATTGAGCCCAGTAAGCATGTGAAGCTATGAGCAACGTCACTTGCCAGCAGGAAATAACTGATTAAACCATGAGATTCCCATGGCATGCCTACCAGGATGAGCAAAATCAAGTTAGATACACTACAGAATAACAGCATCCAGTTTTTGCAGGCATGCTGAGTAGGTAGCCAGAACATTTACACACTGGCAGTGTGGGTGCAAACTGTTATGGCTGTTACATTGGTCAGAACTTGATATAAGATCAGTGAATGTGCACCCCATGACCCATCCGTTCACATCAATTAGATGTACATGGCCTTGTGAACCAACAAACTTGTATCAGGTTGTTCCTAGCAACATATTCATAGTAGCTAAAATTGGAAACATCCTAAATAACCATCATTAGGAGGACAAATGAATTTTGGTAGTATCACACATCAGAATACTACTATACAATGAGGAAGAGATCCCACCACATGCAATTACATGTAAATCTGTAGGAATAATGCTGAGTAAAAAGAAATTGTACATAAGAGTATACATGGGGCTGGGTGGTAGCTCAGTTAGTAAAGTGTTTGGCATTCAGGTCAGAGGACCTGACTTCAGATCCCCAGCACCCACATGCAGAACTGGGCATGACAGCACACCCCTGGGAGATGGAAATAGGAAGATCACTTGCTTGCTTGCCAATTGGTCTAGCTAAAACAGTGAGTGCTAGGCTGAGGAGAGACCCTGTCTCAAAAAGTAAGGTGGAAAACAGTTGGGGAAGCACCTGGCATTGGCCTCTGTCCTCCACATATATAAGCTCCTATATACACATAAGATTATAGACTCTGACTTCATTTATATGCTTTGTATAATTTATTTTTGTTATTTTCAAGATGACATCTTGCCATTTTGCTCAGGCTAGTCTCATATTTCTGGGCTGAATGGATCCCCCAGCCTCAGCCTTCTGAGCATCTGGGCCTATAGCACCAACTGTTCACCCAGCTGCATTTATGAACTTCAGTATTCTGCTCTCCTTTTCCCCCTTTTCAGTTGTATGCCTTGTTCTCTATCTTAAGAGTGTCTTTTTGACCAGACCTTGTCTTTCTCACAGAGGTGGCTGAGGAGCTTGGGAGAGCTGCCTCCTCGTCATCTGTGGTTCCATACCTGCCTCGGTTACCTCTACTTCCTTCCAAGACTCGGACCCTGAAGAAGCAGGGGGAAAACAAAGAGAATGTAGATGGGGGTCTTGATGCCTCCGAGAGCCTGGCGTCCAGCTCAGCACCAGGTACGAGGGGTCAGAGCAGAGAGTGTATGCCTGAAGAACCAGTGTGTGACGCTTCTGGGCCTTGGTCCTGCCCTGCCAGTATGGGCGAAGCTGTCCATCCAGTATAGAGCCTGCTTACCAGCTCTGTTTTCTCAGCCCCTGGCTCCCAGATAGTTACCCAGATAAGTGATGACAGGTGCATCTGGATTATAGAGAAGGGTGCACACAGAACCAAGAGCAAGTGTCACCATTACTATCCACATCCCAACTGGAGACTAATCACTGAAGCAGTGGTGGTGTTAATGTCCTCCGTAAGGCCAACATCTGATGTGTAATAAACACAGACAGAACTTTTCTAATTTAGTCATGCTAACTGGCTCACCTTTTGTCTTTCCTGTTATTGATTGGCCATTTCTCAGCAGGGTTCATTAGAAGTGCACAAGCCTCCAGTGGGTCCCCAGCTCTGCCTCGAAAGCAAAGAGATAAGTCACCTAGCAGCCTCTTAGAAGATGCCAAAGAGACATGCTTCACCAGGGATAGGAAGGGAGGCTTCTTCAGCTCCTTCATGAAAAAGAGAAATGCCCCCGCGCCCCCTAAGCGCAGCAGCTCCTTTCGTGAGATGGAGAACCAGCCCCACAAGAAATATGAACTCACGGGTAACTTCTCACCTGTTGCTTCTCTACAGCATGCTGATGGGTTCTCTTTCACTCCCGGCCAGCAAGAGTCGAATCTGGTGCCAGCCAAGTGCTATGGGGGGAGCTTTGCCCAGAGGAGCCTCTGTACTGACGACAGTGGTGGGGGTGGGGGCAGCGGCACTGCTGGGGGGGGGTGGTCTGGCATCACAGGCTTCTTTACACCTCGCTTAATCAAAAAGACACTGGGCTTACGAGCAGGTAAACCCACAGCCAGTGATGACACTTCCAAGCCTTTCCCAAGGTCAAACTCTACATCTTCCATGTCCTCAGGGCTTCCAGAGCAGGATAGGATGGCAATGACCCTTCCCAGGAACTGCCAGAGGTCCAAACTCCAGCTGGAAAGGACAGTGTCCACCTCTTCTCAGCCAGAAGAGAATGTGGACAGGGCTAATGACATGCTTCCAAAAAAATCTGAGGAAGGTGCTGCTCCAGCCAGGGAGAGACCAAAAGCCAAACTATTGCCCAGAGGAGCCACAGCTCTTCCCCTGAGAGCCCCTGATCCAGCCATCACAGAGAGTGACTCTCCAGGGGTAGGGGTGGCTGGAGTGGCAGCTGCCCCCAAAGGCAAGGAGAGGAATGGTGGGACGCGACTTGGAGTCGCTGGAGTCCCAGAGGATGGAGAGCAGCCAGGCTGGTCCTCTCCAGCCAAGGCCATAGCTGTCCTCCCAACTACCCACAACCACAAAGTGCCCGTCCTTATCTCACCCACTCTGAAACACACTCCAGCTGATGTGCAGCTCATTGGCACAGACTCTCAGGGGAATAAATTCAAGCTCTTATCTGAGCATCAGGTCACATCCTCTGGAGACAAGGACCGACCCCGACGGGTAAAACCAAAGTGTGCCCCACCCCCACCACCAGTGATGAGACTACTGCAGCATCCATCCACCTGCTCAGACCCCGAGGAAGAGCCGACTGCCCCGCCTGCAGGACAGCCCACTCCAGAAACCCAGGAGGGAGGAAAAAAGGCAGCTCCAGGGCCAGTGCCCAGTAGTGGGAAACCTGGGAGGCCAGTGATGCCTCCACCTCAAGTGCCTTTGCCCACATCTTCCATCTCGCCAGCCAAAATGGCCAATGGCACAGCAGGTACTAAGGTGGCCCTGAGAAAAACCAAACAGGCAGCTGAGAAAATCTCAGCTGACAAAATCAGCAAAGAGGCCCTGCTGGAGTGTGCCGACCTACTGTCCAGTGCAATCACGGAACCTGTGCCCAATAGCCAACTGGTAGACACTGGGCACCAGCTGCTTGACTACTGCTCAGGGTACGTGGACTGCATCCCTCAGACTCGAAACAAATTTGCCTTCCGAGAGGCTGTGAGCAAACTGGAACTTAGCCTACAGGAGCTGCAGGTGTCTTCTACAGCTGCTGGTGTGCCTGGGACAAACCCTGTCCTTAATAACTTATTGTCGTGTGTACAGGAAATTAGTGATGTGGTGCAGAGGTAGCCATTGTCAGCCTAGTGGGAAATGCACACATATCTGAGGGGAGAGGGAAAGGGACTCGTTTTCCTGTGTTCTTGTTTTTAAAAAGTGAAAGACTAATACTTGAGTGTGTTTATGTGAAGTACCTCAGATCCCTGAATTCTCACGTTTACAGGTTCATCTCAAAATAGCAAAAAAGGAAATCCCATAAGTAGATAAGTCCATCTGGTGGAGCGGGGCGGCGTGGACAGAGTTGGAAACTGCACTGGGAAGTAAGGGAGCATCGTGTGTATGTCCTAAAGTGCAGCCCCTCCCTGGCTGGACTAGCCTGTGGTGGTCCATTGGGCTGTCTCTGTTGTTCTGTAGATGAAATGGGCCTTGACCTGGCAGGTCCTGGGGGTGATTGTGCTTCAGTTCACCACTCAAATTCGAGGAGCAGGAAAAAGCAGAGTGAGGGATATAGCAGATGTCTTACTCAAGGCTGTTGGAAGTGGCTGTTGGACTTGCTTCCATGGGTCATTGCTGCTGTAGCAAGAACTGCAGATTCGATTGCTAGAATACTAAGCTGAGAAACGTGGCCCTTTCCATCTGCTTTTGTCCTGTTTACCATGGGTGCATTAGTGGGTGCAGGAAGTACAGAATTCGAGGGACATTTAGTCAGATTGACACCTCTAAAACTCTTGGGGTGGTTAGCAGTCACCCCTCCCACTCTTCTAGTATGTCACTTCCTAATGGACCAGTGTCCACTTGCTGCTTGGTGGCTCTCTGTAAACCACGGGCACAGCGGGGCTTCTTAGTGCTTCTTCTCTGTCCCTTGCTGGGCAGGCTGTCTTCCTTTATTTCTGACAGCATTCAGGGCATTACCCAGCGTCAATGTTGAAAATAGTGGTCACTACAGGTTCTCATAGGGGAGACCCCCTGCCCCTGAATACTGACAGGATGGCCACTTGAGCAGCTATGTATACTCCTTTTTTCATTAAATACCAAGGAGATGCAGTACCTTTTTGGGACTGGCTGGGCCCAGAGGCCTGAGACTGAGAAGAGAAGCTTGCTTGATCCACATGGCTACTTGCACCTTCCCCTTCCCTTAGTCCCACACTAATCTGGGTGGACAGTGGTCTGAGAAGGCCTTTCACTAAGGGCTTGCCTCCACAGTATTCTCACCTTCTCTTTCTCTGCTCACGGAACACGCCACCCCCTTGTCGAACTTGGTGGAGTCTGCTGGGAATATATATATGTGTTGGGTTATTTATTTTGGTCTTTCACCTCTATTTTAAGAGTGCATTATAGAAGGAGTGGGTTATTTTCAGGGAGCACCAGTTAGACTAAAAAAACCTAAGGCTTTAACCTGCAAATAGGTTTTGCCTTTGAAAAATAGGCATTTCCCTTCCTTAATTACAGTTATGGAAGCTAATAGGGTAACATGGAATAGAAACTTAATAGGATACAAATTGTTAATGGTTTTGGTACTGGGTCTAATTTTAGTTTGTTGTTGTTGTTGTTGTTGTTTTTTAACTTTGTGAACACCCCTTTCATTCCCCAAAGAGAACCTAATACAAAACATCTTTTTTTTTTTTTTTTTTTTTTTTTCTTCCAAAAGAGTATTATTTAGGAAGATGGGCATTCAGCACTGAGCCATGTTTTCTTCCTGGCTGTCATTGATCCACCATCAAGTAGCCGCCCCATCTTTTGATCTATTAATTGAAGGCAATAGCCCTCACTCTCAAGAGTGTTTTGCAGACTAATATGCAGCTCCCTTTGAGAGCCTCTCTGGAGAGCTCTTTACTTAGTGTTGCTACATTGAGTCGCTTCTCATTCTCTCTGCTGAATCACAACTAGGAAACTTTAGAACTGCTGTGCTTACAGTAACGGGGCCAGAATCCTAAGGGGAAGCTAGTTCAGCTTGCATTTGGCATCCTTGACCAAGGAAGAAATTTAGTTTTCATTAGAAAGAAAGGCAATTTGGATACTTTTCACTGCTGCTCAAAGAAGGCTCAGGGTAAGAGGAGGTTTGGAGTGGAGGAGAAGGCTCCTGCAGGTGTTAGTGTTCCCAGCTGTGGTCTGGGTCTGCACAGCAGGGATCAGGTCACTGGCCTTCTGGTAGCTGGAAGCGAATTTTCCCACCACCTCCTTCTTCACCACTCCCCACCATCCTGTGCTCCCGTAAACTTGAATCTCTTAGCAGTTAGCCTTGTATAGGTGGGGAGGAGAAAGCTAAAATTGGAGGCCATTATTAATGCTACTTTTAAAGTTTATCCCTGCCATAATGGGATGTCATAAGAGATGATTGTTGTTTTCAGGTTTTGGGTCTTGTTTTGTTTGTTGGTTGGTTGTTTGATTTTCCCTTCAGAGTTCTGAAAACAGACTTGGAGAAACACTACTGAGTATCTCAGCTCCCTTCTTTTCTCAGTCTGAGGGACTAAGTCAAGGCCAAGTCTCACTGAGGGCAGGCAGCACAGATCTGTCCTGCTTCAAGTGGGTCATCACAAAATCCCTGAGTTGAACTGACCTTTTTCTCAACACAGTCACGAGTAGCGTTAACTGTTGTAGCACACTCCACATGATACGTGGGCTGCGTAGCTTTCAGGGATTGGGCCCCACAGCACAGAGGCACTGTCAACTTGCTATGAAAGAATTGTTTAGGGTTTTTTTTTTCCTTTTTTCTTTTATCTACCTGCAAGGGACCAGCTTAAAATTAAAAATAAAAAATAAAAAAAAAGTCAGTAAATTAAAAGGTTTGAATCTAAAGCAGAGAAAACTGCTTTTAGAAACTAAAAACTGTAACTTAACTTTCTGTAGCCTGGAAAGAAAGCAGATGGCATTTCCTGCAGTCATGTGATGCATGCTTGGCTTGCCACAGCTTCATCACGTTCCTGTACGAGTCGTGTGCTTTCAGTTGCATTTCCCACCTTTAAGTGCTGCGTTCTGTATTGAATGTATCCTCATTATGCTTTACAGGAAGCTTTTGGGTTTCAAGCTTTGGCTACAATATTATTTTACAGTTTCAGATGATTCCCATCATGACGTTCAGAGAGAGAGCGAGAGACCTTAAAATGGGCCCTTCTTAAAAGCTGTGTTTTGTAGTGAATTGAACTGAATTGAACATGATGCACCAGGCTGTGATCTGTCATCTGAGACACTGATTGGTCATTTTCTGGATGGCCTCTGTATAAGGTCGTCATAGTGGAGACTAGTTCACAGCAGCATTTTCAGGTTTCAGTTAGAAGTGTTCCCACCCTTAGTTGACGATCGGCTGGTAAAAACGTTTCTTGTTATTTTGAAGACAGTGGGGTTTTGAGTTCAGAGGACACAGCAATGTCAGTAGTGTGAGGTGATGTTTATAGAGTAGGTAGCTCAGGTGCCTGGTGCACACTCAACACTCCATGAACGTTAACTCCTAGTGTTCACTCCTAACCCGGGAGCACACAATAGTCCTCTAGAGGTTTTTAAAGGGAAACTGATAAATTAGTCCCACTCTATATTGGAATTCTCAATGCGGTGAGAGAGTAGCCTGTGTGTTTCCCAAGAACTTCTCCAAGTTTCAAACACTCAGCACTATCTGAACAGAACATTATTTGTGCCCTTTTCTGTAGAGAAGAAGAAACTAGAGAGGGTGTTGTCACTAGTCCGTTATCTTGAGCAGTCCGTGGCAGAGCTGAGGCTAGAATTCAGGAGTCCTGACATTGTGGCGTTTCTCCACCACACCTGCGGCAGCCTTGTGAGATGCCAAGGCCATAGACAATCAGTGTACATGGTGCTGCACACTTCTAAAGCACAGGCTCTCATGGGCCCTGGCTAGCAAGGGCTTGGATGTTGAGTAACAGTGTAGCCAAACAAGCCTTTAGTAGAAGTTGGTTATGAAGCAAGCATATCGCTATTCTTCTAGACTTCAGCCACGCAGAAACCTGCACTTTGTAGTTTAAAATACCAATTTGAGTTGTTTCAAAACAAAAAGAGAAGAAAACCAGTCCCTACATTCCTTTTTTGTTCAAAAAGAAATTTATTGTTGTGTCATTTTAATGACTATGGGATAGTGGGAAAGAACCTGGAGAAATAAATGCAATCCAATTATAAAGTTGGATGATGAATACCTGTAGAGAATCCCCTCTGTAGTTTGCTACAGAGTTATATATGAAACTGCTAAATGAATCTGTAGAGATACTGCAAATGTTTGCTAATAATGCAGAGCTGAGGAACTTGGGAAAATTGGGGACCAGGTTTTTGGTTTCCTTCTCTTTAAGAGGTAGTAAAGTGGTGGCATGTAATCCTAGCAGAGAAGAAGCTGAGCCAAGAGCATCTCAAGTTCCTGACGAACCTGGGCTACAGAACGAGACTTGAAGGAGGGTGGGCTAGTCCCTTGGAGCCCAAAAGCTTGTCTGGGCCCTTGACTGGAAAGTGAAGGCCCTCTTTCTTCTGATCAGTCATCTAGTACATGCTCAACTAGTGTCCTTGCTGTGGTCAGAGCAGACTCATTTTCTGTTCGTGTTGACAGTATCTTTTTAAAAATAATGTCCTGGGGGCTTGTGGGTAGAGAACTGATGTACTTGGAGAATTTCTAGAATTTCTCTACCAGTTATAAATGACATTGACATTTATCATCTCTTTAAAAAAAAAAAAAAGGTAGCTGGGCTAAACTCACCTATTAGATAATTATATACTCAAGTAAATCATGTGGAGGCAGGCAGCTTCCATGCAGCTGCACTCTATGCTGACCCCCTGTATTTCTTAGTAAATCATGTGGAGGTGACCACATGCAGCTGCACTCTATGCTGACCCCCCTATGTTTGTCTGTCTTTGCTGGTGATATCACTGTCATCGTTAGGCCGTGTCTTGCAGGGGAGTCGATACTGGGTTGACAGAGTCATCTTTATTTCTGTTCTTAATGATCGGTTTCATCCTCTTGCATGCATTAACTTGCTTCTCCTGGATCTGGGACCCATTCTTATGCCCTCAGCATCTGCTATGGCCAGTACTTTTTATATTTCCTATCAGCTGCCCTAGCTTCGTCAAGTTGGTAGCCCAGTTCTTTGAAAAATGCCTGTTTGGGTTTTGTTAGGCGTGCAGGAGCCTAGAGCAGGCAGTTCCAAGGGAACCTGTGCACAGACCGGCGGAGGCAGCCCCAAGGTTCCTGTGGCTTCCATGCGGCGGCGAGCATTGCCTTCCGAACAGAGAGGCAAGGCCTTGGGATGCTTCTAGAACTTGGCCCACTCCTACTGTCTCATGCAGAGTTCCAGTTTTCCAGCTTAGGGGTCAGAAGTGCTTGGAGTTCCGTCACCTGCACTAGTCAGCACAGCACAGCACAGCGGCCCAACTTCTCTGCTGTGGCCTGTGGTCGGTCCCACTACCGAGGAAGCTGGCTTGGTTCACCCTGCTCAGGAGCATTGGCAGCTGATTCTTGGCTCCAGCTTGTCTTTATAAGGCTGCTGCTTTCCATGCCATGTGTGTGTCCCATCTTGACTGTGTGTGCGATGATAACTCTTTTCTTTTGGACTAGTTCCCCACGTGACCCAGGAGGCCCCTGTGCTGTTTCCTGGATAAGGTCTGGGGCAGTTTATCTTGATTAGAAGCTGATAGTGGCAGAGGTCGTGCTCAGAGGTTTGTGCCTTCACAGATGGGTTCCTGAGTACTGTTGGGAGAAATACTTGCCTGCGGGACTGGTGTGTGTAACTGTTGAACTAGATCTGCTTGAAACAGGCTTCACCAGGGCCCCAAGTCCTTGTCAGTTCAGAAGACCCCTCCTTCCCGGGTAAAATGCCAGCTGGTAAATTGCTGCCTCACCTTTCTCAGCCCTTGTGATGAGCTGAGGGAAGGAGACCCCCTTCCAGACCCATCCTCCCTCCACACACACTTCCTTTGCTCCATGTACACCTATAAATCAGACTATTCACCCTCCTGGATAATAATCATCTCGATTTCCCTGGTGCTGATAAATCTGAACACAGTAGCAGAACCCTGTCAGCCAGAGAGGACAGGTGGCACACTGGGTCTGCACACCTGCCACCATCTAAGGGGAAAGGAAGTAATGTCCACTTCTCCTCAGACGATAGCATCTTTAGGGAAGAATGGAGCTGTTCTGTGGGTCCTGAGTTACTCAGCTCTTCCCAGAGTACGGACCCTGATCCTTTAGGACATGGGAGAGGCATTGTCAAATGCTAACAAGTTAGTAAAGGAATTAGAGAGTTTTGTGGGTACAACTTGCTTGGGCTTGTTTCTGAGGCCCTGAATAGGAGTTGAACATCTTGTTTTTAGGGACCATACAATTTAGTGGCGAGTAGGATTTAATAAAAATTTCACTTACATAGGTTCTTATTTTCAGCAGTTATAAGTTTATTGTTGAATCAGAGACTACTGCAGAAGGCCGCAATGCTTCAGGGTCATTAGTTCCCCACATTATGCCTGGTATTCTTAAGACCCATGCTGTCTGTGTGTTGTGAATGGTAAGAGTGCTACTGGTCAGGGCCAGGGGAACCAGCATTCTTCCATCTCCACGGCTACCTTCCACTAATACCACCTCAACTCCATCATGAGAAGTGTTTGCTGAGACCTTGAGAACTGACCTTCAGGAAAATGAATCTTCAGAAACTAATGAGAAGGGGAGGTACTGGCCCCCGGGCTCCTGATTCCCTCTTTGAGGCAGCGGCAGTCATGCAGTGAGCGTGCTGCCCTGCACAGCTCCAGCCACACTGCACGCACAAAGCCGTCCCTCCTGACCTGCACTTTCTTTCTTGCAATCGGATTCCGTAATGACTATCAGTGGAGAAACCCCATTTTGTGCTTGCTTGGTAAAAGTAAATTGGAACGTTTTATGGTGGTTGATAGATAGCCTTTGTCCTAAAACTTGCTAATTCAGATTATTTCAAACCCTAGTGTTTATACCAAAGGTTACACTGCAGGCGTAGGTGATGCACAGGGGGGAGCCCACGGTGGGCCCTGTGTGCATCGCCCAGGGGACACAGTGCCCAGTGAGACCACGTGGGATCGGTCATGGGCACACTACCGCTGTGGTCGAGTGTTTGTTCCAATGGTCACTGTAATAGATTTTCTGTAGTTTTTCTAAGTTAATCCTCTCACTCTGGTGTCTGACTGTGAACTGCTAACAGTGTTAAACTTGATGTAAATAAACGACGCCCTTGGCGGGGACTGCTTCCTGTCGCATCTCACATGGTTTGCAAGTTGTGCTTTGTTTTCAATAAAGGTTGAAATATTTTATCGGCAAAGTGGGCTTGAGTTGGAATTTCTCCTGGGATTTTAATTGACAGGGAAGCTAAGCAGATCTTCATAGGCATCCAGGAGATGATGTAAGGTCCAGCGATGATTAGTAAGCATCCCTCTGATGACGTTCTTCCTGGAGTGCACTATGATAATGAATCCCTATCCTGTGACGAGTGTTGTACATACGATACCTTCTGGAGCCGGGCTGGCAGACATCAGGTAGGTAATGTGTGGGTATGTGTCTAATGAGAGTGGACTACACAGACATTTGATTCTCTGAAAATCCGTTCTAAACACAACTGCAAATAAGTTCTTAAACTGTTTCGAGACGGGTATTAACGGAATAAGTAGGAATCCTCAAAGAGAACATTCTTCTTATTCAGAATTAGTTACCTTTTGTTTTTCATGCTTTCAAAACAAGCATGTATCCTTCTCAAGGTGGCCTCAAACTTGCCATGCAACCAAAGATGATGTTGAGCTTGGATCTCTCTGCTGGAGTTGCTGTTGTATACTACACTGTTTATATGGGTGCTGGCGATTGAACCGAGGGCTTCATACGTGATAAGCAAATGCTCTTAACAACTGGTCCACATTCCCAGATCCTAGCACCTTTTTGACACACGTGTACACATTCGCTGAGAATAGTGTTGTCAGTGGCTGTCATGACAAAGCAGCCAGGTAGGAGAACTCAGTCATGGTGTTGAGTGCACAGAGTATCTCAAAGGAGCCAACAGGGAAGATTCTGAATGTTCTCACCACAGTGAGATCTGGTCACAGGTGCTCTAAATACCCTGATTGGGTATTGCAGTGTGCACATGTAGAAACACGAGTGTTTTCACTGCTGTCCCTCCTCTGTCCTCCAGGCCCAGCCCCAGGCATTGGTCGCCACTCCCCACTTCTCCACAAGATGAGCTCCTTGACACTGCACACGAGTGGGGTCCTGCAGGGTCGAGCCTGAGTTATTTCAAGTAGCATCACCTCTTCCACATTCATCCATGTTGCCATGAGAGATGGACCTTCATTGTTTTTATGCCCAGGTCTTTCCCCACTGTGTGTCTGTACATTTCCAGGACCCCATCGTCTGCTGGTGGAATCCCAGGCTGGTTCTGGCTCCTGCCTGTTGTACACGGCGCTGCACTGAACTCGAGCTCAGATGTCTGTCTGACATGATTCCACTTCTCTTCACTACCTGTAGTGGGGTTTGTGTGTGTTGTTCATCGTCCCCAAAACTCTGTGTACACTGGAATGTTAGACATTATAGCATATTAAAGCAGTCCTGAAAGTATAGTGTTAAAATTTTAATGTATATGAAATTATTTATGGGGTATTGTGATGTTTTAAATCATATACACTGCATAATGTTGAAATTATGTTAGACATAACCACTTCCTCAAACATTCATTCCTAGTTCTTTTTTATTTTTACAACAGTCTCATTGCATTGTCCTGACTGGCCTCATCCTTGCTGGCTGGCCTTGAACCCTGATCATCCTTCCTGAATGCTGGAATCATAGGTATGGGCCACTATGCCCAGCCCCAAACCCTTCAAGCCAGTTGAAATTATATATAGTTAATTAAATAAGTTTTTTCCCATTTTTTTTTTTGTGTGTGTGTATGTGTGTGTGCGTGTGTTGGTACCTTCAGGCCAGAAGAGGGTATTGGATCCCTTGGAGCTGGAGTGAGTTACAGGCAGTTGTGAACTGTTGGACATGAGTGCTGGGAACCAAATTCAAGTCCTCAAAGAGCAGCAAACACTTTTTTTCCCCCAAGATTGATTGATTGATTGATTGATTGATTGATTGATTGATTGATTGATTTATTTATTTATTTTTAATTTTTAAGATTTATTTATTATGTATACAGAAGAGGGTGTCAGATCTCATTACAGATGGTTGTGAGCCACCATGTGGGTGCTGGGAATTGAACTCAGGACCTCTGGAAGAGCAGCCAGTGTTCTTAACCTCTAAGCCATCTCTCCAGCCCCGCAGCAAACATTCTTAACTTAGCCATGTCTGATGCAAGACAGAAATTCTAACTCTTGCAGTACCTACTGATGGGCCTCTCCCTGCTTCATCCCTCCTTCACCTTCTGCTATCCTAAAGGATTCCCTCTGTTTTCTTACGGTAATTCTAGTTTCAGATCTTACATTTAGATATTTAACTCAAATTTAGTTGGTTTTAGCTGAGATTTTTTGATGCTGTTTGTTTTTCCTTTTTGTAGTGCTAGGGATCACACATGCTAAGAAAAGACCACTGAGATGCATCTCCAGCCCTTGGTTTCTTGACACCTCTGCCTTCCAAGTGCTGGGCTTACAGATGTGCACCTTCGTGCCGAGCTACATTAATGCTTTGCATAACCACTATACCGTTTCCATAGCTGCTGTGTTGTTTGCATTCTCCCCAGCAGGGTCTTGTGGGTCCTCCCTTTCCTGCAGCCTCCCGAGGAGTCTTAGTATTCTTACTACTGTCTTACTGTTCGATTAGGATAAGGTGCTTCCTCTGATTGGAGGGAAGAGAGAGGCTCATACAACTTCGAAGATTCTCAAGCGCCTTCCTCTAGGCTACCTAGGCCCTCACCCGTTACTGCAGACAGGCGAGGCTTCGGTGAGGTTGCTTACAGGCTGGGCAGAGAACCCCAGGGATGTAGCTTTCTGAGGCATCAGCCTTGCTAGGATAGGCTTTTCAGTGATGTAGCCACCTGGAAGTCACCCAAGTTTCTGCACATCACCCCTAAACTCACTGATTCACCAGGGTAGACGTGGATGGAATCCCCCCTCTGCTCTGGCCTTGGTGCCCTGTCTGAGGTGACTAGAAGTTTGTTCATGTCTTTTTTTATCTGGAAAAGCTGCACGATGTGCTCACAGCTTGATTAACGTTTCTCTTTCTTAGGAGGAACACTTTACTGTTGCTTTTGTCTCTCTTCTAAGACTTCTCTTTTTAAAAAAGTATATGTATGAGTGTTGTCTGCATGTATATCTGCATCACATGCATGCCTGCTGCCCACAGGTCCAGAAGAGGGTGCTGGATCCCCTGCGAGTGGAGTTACAGGTGATACTCTTGGTCACTGAGCCATCTCTCCAGCCCTCTTGTCCTTTGAAGAGCATCTGTTCTGATTTTTCTTTAAAGTGTTGTGGTTTTTTTGTGTTTTGTTTTTTTGTTTTTTTTTCAAAACAGGGTTTCTCTGTGTAGCCCTGACTGTCCTGGATCTCACTCTGTAGCCCAGGCTGGCCTTGAACCCACAGAGATCTGCCTGCCCCTGCCTCCCAAGTGCTGGGATTAAAGGTGTGCACTGCTGCTGCCGCCGCCACCCGCCCGGCTTCTTTAAAGTTTTAATGGGATTATTTATTGAGCTGTTTGAGCTCCTTCTGTATTCTGGATAATAACTCAGTGTCACCCATAGTTCTGCTTCCAATCTGTGGGTTTACTCTTCCTGATTGTTTATTTGACCACTTGGCTTTTGAGTTTGACAAAATCCTTTTGTCATTTATTGCTATATTACTGCTTTGCCACTGGGGTCTTTTCCGAAAAACCATTGCCTGTACCAAGGTCTTGAAACATTTCATTTGTTTCCTAGTTTCAGGTTTTACATGTAAATCTTTAATCCATTTTGAGTTGGTTTTGTATGTGGTGAGAGATAGATCTACATGCACGTAACTACATTACCCAAAACCATTTATGGAAGAGGCTACCCTTCCTCTGTTGCCTTCATTGGTGCCGTTGTACAACGTCTGTTGGCTTGAAGTGCATTATTTTCTCTCTGTATTCTGTTCCAGTGGTAGGTGTCTCTCTCAGTACCATGCTGCTTTGGTTCTACAGCTTTGTAACAACTTTCAGGTCAGGTAATACAATCCAGCTCTGTTCTTTTTGTTTAAGATTTCTTTGGCTACTTAAGGGTTTTATAGTTTCATAAGAATTTTGGGATTAATTTTCTATTCATATGAAAAATGTCATCTTAGGGTTTCGATTGCTGTGAAGGCACCATGACCACAGCAACTTTTTTTTTTTTTTTTTTTTTTTTTTTTTGGTTTTTCGAGACAGGGTTTCTCTGTGTAGCTTTGCGCCTTTCCTGGATCTCGCGCTGTAGACCAGGCTGGCCTCGAACTCACAGAGATCCGCCTGCCTCTGCCTCCCGAGTGCTGGGATTAAAGGCGTGCGCCACCACCGCCCGGCTAGACCACAGCAACTCTTATAAAGGAAACATTTAATTGAGGTTGCTCACTGTTTCAGAGGTTCAGTCCTTTATCATGATGGGGAGCATAGTAGTGTGCAGGCAGATGTGGTGCTGGAACTCTCTTTGTAGACTAGGATGGCCTAGAACTCACAGAGATCTGCCTGCCTCTGCTGGGGTTAAAGGTGTGTGCCACATTGCTTTTATACTTGATTTGTTGAGAGTTTTGTTGTTTTTTTTAATCATTAAGAGGTCAAGTGGCTTTTCTGCATCTACTGAAATGATATGGTTTTTACCTTTCATTCTGCTAATGTGATAGATCATATCTGATGATTTACAGAGATTGAACCACCCTTGAATTCCTGGAATGGATCCCTTTTGATTATAGTGAGTGATCTTTTTGTTGTGATGTTATATTGGGTTGTCTGTTTTAAAGATTTTTGCATCTGTGTTCAGTGGGAATGTTGGCCTAGATTTTTGGGTTTGGGGTGGTTTTATTGTTTTATTTTATATCCTTGTCTGGTTTTGCTACCAAGGTAATACCTCATGGAATGAGTTTGGAAGTATTTCTCCTTCGATTTTGGAGGTAGTTTCAATAGAATTGGTATTAGTGTTTGTTGTTTGTCTAGTAAAACCAGCCTTAAACTCCTAAACCCCTTTCCTCTCCTTGGTGCTGGGATTACTAATGTGTTTCACCACACCCAGATTTTTTTTTTTTCCCAGAGCTGAGGACCGAACCAGGGAGCGCTCTACCACTGAGCTAAATCCCCAACCCCCCCAGATTTTAACTATTGTTTGTTTGTTTTGAGAATGGGTTTCTCAATATAGCCCTGGCTGTCCTGGAACTCACTATGTAGACCAGATTGGCCTTGAACTCGAAGAGATCCAACTGCCTCTAGATTAAAAGGCATAAGTCACCATGCCCTTCTTTGTAAATTTCAGCATGAAGCCATCAGGTAGGTCCTGGGCCTCTCTTTGATGTGGGACTTTCAAAAAAAATAAATAAATAACTGATCATATAAGTTTGTTCAGGTTGTCTATTTCCTAGTGATTTAATCTTGGTAGGTTGTCTACATACAGGAATTTGTCTATTCTACATAATCTAGTTTGTTGGTATATAATCATAATAGGTTTTTTGAATCCTTTGTGTTTCTATGTTACCAGTAGTAATATCTTTTCTGTGGATTATTTGAGTCTCCGTTCCCACCTACCCCTTCTCATTTTCTTAGCTGATAAAGGCCATGCTTATCTTACCATAAATAAAGGAAGAACTATCAGTCCTTTCATTGATCAATGTCTTTATTTTAAAACAGTGCCTTGGGCCTGGGGCTTGCCTAGCATGCAAGAAGCTCTGAGTCTGAGCCCAGCACCAGTCAATCCAGGTGTGCGGACACATGCCTGTAATTACAGCACTTGGAAGATAAGGCAGCTCAATCAAGGCCATTTGGGGATCACGTACTGAGTTCAAGGCCAGTTTTGGCTATGTGACACTGTCTCAGAAAGACAAGGAAAGTCAAGACAGGGTCTTGTTATGTAGCCCCAGCCAGTCTCAAACTCACTAGACAGCCCAGGTTTTCTGAAGCTTGGCAGCCCCCTGCCTTAGCTTTCCGAGTGCTAGAATTACAGGTGTGCTACCAACCTAACTATTTCATTTTCATGCATTTCTCCTGTGATGTTTGTTGTTACACTAATCTTGGGCACAGTGCTGCTGTGTGGTGTGTATGTTGGCATAATTTCTCAGAGCCGCTTTCCTCATAGGTTTTGTCTCAAGAAGTTTTTTCCATCTTAATCTCTCCCCTGACCTATTGTTCTGGAGTATTTCTGGAAGTTTCTGAAGCCCCTCCTCTGCATTTCTACTTTTTTTTTTTTTTTTTTTTTTTTTTTTTTTTGGTTTTTCGAGACAGGGTTTCTCTGTGTAGCTTTGCGCCTTTCCTGGAACTCACTTGGTAGTCCAGGCTAGCCTCGAACTCACAGAGATCCGCCTGGCTCTGCCTCCCGAGTGCTGGGATTAAAGGCGTGCGCCACCACCGCCCGGCCTGCATTTCTACTTTTATGCCCTTGTGATCATGAGGTATTTCTAGGATTCTAGTTCTTTTAGATCAGGTAAGACCTGTTCAGCACTCTAACACGGCCTGTCCTGTGGGGTAGAAGATTGTGTCTGGCTCTTGGATGGGTTGGTATCGCCATGGTTTCCTGTTGCAGTTCACTTGGTTCTCACTACGTGGCCCAAGCTGTCTTCCCAAATATGGGATGGTAGGCATCGCAACCCCTGGCTTGAACAAGAACTCCAAGTCTACTGGGCATTTCATGCTTACTATCCACCTTGTAGTCCTAACCGTTCCGATTTCTTATAAAGCAGATCTCCATCCCTGGTTTGTGGCAGCAGAGCTCCTTCCTCAACCCTTGAACTTCGTGAGCTGCTTTTGCTATTCGAGATCCTGCTCTCCAACTCTGCTCCTTTACTTCTTTGAGTACTAAGTACCCAGTATGGCTGGACTCAGTCAGTACTCCCTAACCTAAGGCAGGTGAGTACCCATGTACAACCAACTGTTAAATGGGGATGCAGAAATGGTCCATTTACGAGATAAAGGTGAGAGGGTTGAGGAGGGCTTCAGTAAGAGGGGGAACTATGACAAAGCACAAAGACCTGTGTGTTTCAAAAGTGGGAAGAAGGGACCAGATGAGGAAAGGGTAGAACACGCGTGTCATAAAGACAGATCATGCACGGTCTGCCTCACCATGCCAGCTCAGGAACCACAGCTTTCCTGTCAGAGCTGTGGTGAAGAACTTATGTCTGTGAGCGCTGAGTCTTGGGAGCTTCTAAGAAAGAAGGTGGAGTCGCCCTAAGTTAAGCTGACATGGCCCTAAAGTGAACTGAAATCCACTCACAGGTCAGCACCTGTCTCCATCAGTGCCCATCGGTGCTGAGTACAGGTCTCAGGAACAAAGGAGGCCAAGGACGTTAGAAAAATACAAAATTTAATCTATACATACAACATTACATAGCAAGGCCCCTAATTTAAAGAGAAACAAGTTTTCAGTCTATAGAACGCACCTGTGGTTTTTGTTAAGCCTGGCTGGCCTCAAACTCACGAGGCAGCTCAGGTCTCTTGAGCTCTTTCCTGTATTAGCCTCCTCAATGCTGGGCCCACAAGTATGTGCCATACCCGTCACTGGCATGGTTTGAAAGCATGTGGTTTTCCCTTTAGCCTAAGGCCCTTTGCTGATCTGCTCACACAAACAAGCTGAACCCCCTTCCTCTAGAAAGCCAGCCCATGCCTACAGACCTGGATGGAGCACACTCGTGCTGAGCCACAGACCTTCCATCCTTCCATGTTCTGTAGTCTAAGAGTCCTGCAGCCTCAGACTCCTACTCCAAGTCCAGCTGCCTTCTGGGAAGAGCTATGGTGCCAAGAGACTGTAGGGAGAGTTCCAGGGACCCTTTGGGACTTGGGACTTCCCGATGGCTTTCTGACTTCCAAGCCTAAATTACAGAATGTCTAGAATGCAAGTCTTTAAGGCACCAAGTGATTTTAAGAACTAACTGCCTCTGTTAAGGTCTGCCTTCTGCACTAGCTAAAGCAGTGTACTGGACACCAGGGTGCCTGGCACATTCAGGCGCTCTCTGGTGAGGGAAGACAGCTCCAGGAAGCACAATGAGTCACTCTCAAGGCAGGAAGAGGTTGATTCTCTGGGAAATGGATTTGCAGCCCTGGGAAGAGAAAAGCCGCTCCTCCTCAGGGACATACGTCATCATCTTGGCGATTTCATCCAGGGCCTCTTCTGTGTACGGGAGGTCCTGACTCAGGAAGGCGTCTCGGACACACAGCCGCACATGGCGGTACTCCAACGGCAGGAATGGGGTGAAGAGGTCAATCAGGTTCTCCTTCACAAGACGGCTGGAGCCAAAGCTGCTGTCTGAAGTCAAGACCCAGAGTTACATGGAGACTGACCTGGGACCGAGCCCTGCTAGAGACTTAAGGTGTCCCCCACAGTGAGACCTCGGCAAGATCCGGTCTCCCATGAAGCTCTAGGAGTGCTGTCTGCAGTTGGTGCCGGGAGCTGTGTAGCTGTGGCTGCTCTAGGCACGGAAGCATGTGAGTGTGGCAGGCACGGCCACCAGGGCTGTGGCTTTGTTTGGTGACTGGGGCTCAACCACTGTTCTCTCAGGGAGGTCTGCTAGTCAGAGACCATGGCTGTGTGTCTGTGGCTGGGCAATGACCCCCGCCCCCCCCCCCTTTTTTGAGACAGGGTTTCTCTGTAGTTTTGGAGCCTGTCCTGGATCTCACTCTGTAGACCAGGCTGGCCTTGAACTCACAGAGATCCGCCTGCCTCTGCCTCCCCAGTGCTGGATTAAAGGTTTGTGCCACCGCCACCTGGTGTCAATGACCCTTTTAAGGGCATTTTCAGAAAAGGACTTTAGGCCTACTTTTCCTTGTGCCACCAGAAGTTGACAATTTGAGGTTGTCTGTGTTCTCCATTGTCTCAAATTTGGTACATACACTAATCACCTCTAGCTGGGGCTCTTGGCAAGGAACGTGTATCTAGATGATCTCTTACCGGCAGACTCCATGATCTCAGCTTGAAGGGGAGTCTCCAAGTGTTGCAACGTAATTTCCTCCCTGGACCATCCAGCCTTAAGCAAACCCAGGACCACCTCATTGATGACACTGCCCCCAAGGTTACTAAAAGAAACAGGCGCCTGTTAACAGCAGATCCCCGCACTCAGTCCCGCATGTTGTCTGACCTCCGACACCAGTTCCTGAGCCTGAGGGGCTGCTCCGTGGAGCAGAGCAGAAAGACACTGCCCTGCTTGGGAAACACTTGTGATCTGTGTGACCTTCAATGTGATGATGTGAACGAGATTCTGGGACCGTGTGGCACAACTGAAGATGCAGGCTCCCATCAGGACACACAGCAGTGACTGTCAGACTCATGGGGGAGGGGTGTCCGGGCACAAGACTGCAGCAGAGGACCATGGGCTTCAGGGTCAGAAGGGAAGCATGAAAGCTAAGCCATCGCTAGCGAGAAGGTGCCACGCAACGCTGAAGGATTTGGGGCTAGAAAGCAGGGTTCACTTGTGTCCTCAGAAACTCGTTCCCGGTAGAGGAAAAGGACTGGAGAATTAGTTTAGAAAGCACCGTTAGGAGTCAGAGGAGGTGTCTGCCTGGGCTGCTTGCTGCTGCAGCTTCCACAGCAGTGTGAAGCAAAAACCAGCTTGTTTTATACCGCCTGTGTTCTGAGGGTTGAGGATGGCTGTACACTGTGTTACGACACGAGTGAGTGGCAGGTAAGGCTGGAAGACAAACCCAGAGAGCCACCACCTGAAGCTGGAAGTGCTGGGGACCTGCAACCAGGGCAGTTCCTCCCTGTCCCAAGTTGCAGCCCCGCAAGCTCCTGTACCAGCTGAGCCCTCACTTCTTTTTTTTTTTTTTTTTTTTTTTTTTTTTGGTTTTTCGAGACAGGGTTTCTCTGTGTAGCTTTGCGCCTTTCCTGGAACTCGCTTTGGAGACCAGGCTGGCCTCGAACTCACAGAGATCCGCCTGGCTCTGCCTCCCGAGTGCTGGGATTAAAGGCGTGCGCCACCACCGCCCGGCCGAGCCCTCACTTCTTAAGGCCACAGAACGAGGAATGGAGTGAGTGAAGAGCAGGGGAGGCAGGCGCAATTAAGCTGGGGGTCTAGCATCTCCATTCCTCCTCACAAGGCTCAGAGTGCCCCTGGTACCTCAGGAAAGTTCTTACCTTTTTGCTCAGTTTGCATTTGAGTGTATCCTGCCATCCCTAACCTGTCTCCCTAGCTAGGTGGAGAGAGACATCCTTCCCCAGCAAACAGGTGAGGACCAGTGTGTCCCTCACAGCCACAGGACTTACCAGGGGCCTTGAGTCCCCAGCTGGAGGAGTCCAGTAGAACAAGGGCATTCCCGGGGCCCTGCCAGACTTCCAGGCCTACAGAAACTGCTTATATCGCTTATCTGATTTCTGTGTCTGCTGCACAGCCTGTCGGGAGGCTTTCTGGTATACAGCTGCATCAGCAGAGACAAGACTGACCCCACCACCAGAGATTGCCCCATCTAGATTTGCCACAGTACCCCTGTTTACACCGTCTTTGGGGGACAGCAAACCAGTAAGGTCGGTGACTCACTCAGCCCCAAAGACTACCTGCCTGCTTCTCTGTAACCCCAGGCAGGGCCCCACTCTGCACAATTTCTGCATATTATCTGTAGCTTCCTTCTGAACTGCCTGCAGCCAGTGTCTTCAGGTCAGCAGGGCTGCATGCCATAGCAGACATACTACCTCTCCAATAAGGAGACCGTGAAGGAGACCCTCGATAAGAGGGGAGGGATTATGTCCATGCTCCAGCTGGACTTCATCTGTGTCAGCGGCTGATTCTGCTGACTCATCACCCTGCCCTGCCCCGGGCCTGGCTGCCTCCCAGCTTACCGTCTGTTTGCTTTTATAGATAAAGCTTACCCGTTTGCAAAATCTTGGCACTATAAAATTGGTTTTTGTCCATATTGGGTAAGCAAGGCCTCCTGGGCATCATCAACTGTCTGCCCTCGGGTACCTCAAGAGAGCTGGCAAAGAAGCCACCAGTACCTCAACAACAGGTCTCAGGTGCTTTTTCCGGATTAAACTGTGGGTTAAACTGATTGTGTCAGGGCTGGGTACTCTTCAATGGGCAAAGTATGCTGCCTGAGCATGAAGTTCAGGTCCCTGCAACCCTGTGAAAAGCTGGGCGTGTGTGTGTGTGTGTGTGTGTGTGTGTGTGTACTTACAACTTTAGTTCTATCCAGGTAGAGCCAAGTGTGGTGACATTGGCCTTTAATCCTAGCACACAGGCGACAGGTACGTGGATCTCTGAGTTGTAGGCCAGCCTGATCTACATAGCAAGTACCAAGCCAGCTGGGACTACATAATGAAGTCCTGTCCACAAAAGAAGAAGTAAAAACAAGGAAGAGAGTGATATTGGTCCGTGTCAACCTCCACACAGATGGGCACGCACATACACAACACACATGCGAGAATCCTTACCACAAAGGGAAGATAAAGTGAGATCTGTAACACAAATTGCTAAACAGTCTTATTAAATAAAAACCCGGGAGCCAGGTATTGGGGTGAATTCTGAAAGATCAGAGAAGCTGAATAAGCCACAGCTAACCTCACCTCACCAACTTCTCAGCCGATCCTGTTTCCTCAAACTGGAAGCCTCTGAGTCCTCATCTGAATGGATCTCAACTGAATTGCTGCTAAAAGCCTAAAAGCTTAAAAGCCTCTAGTTCCTGGTCCTCACACCTTCTATACCTTTCTGCTTCCTGCCATAACTTCCTGGGGTTAAAGGCGTGTGTCTTTCCCAAACAAGACATGAGATCTCAAGTGCTGGGATTAAAGGTGTGTGCCACCATGCCTAGCTCTGTTCCCAGTGTGGCCTTGAACTCACAGAGATACACATGGATCTCAGCCTCCTGAGTGATAGGATTAAAGGTGTGTGTGTGCCACCATTTTCTGACCTCTATGTCTGTCTAGTGGCTCTGTTCTGTGACCCCCAGATAAGTTTATTAGGGTACACAATTTATTGGAGGACACAATATCACCACAGAAATTCATTATAGAAGTCAAGTCCAGAGACTCAATCTCAACACTACTCTCTCATAACTAGGGCACCAGGGACTCTTGGGGCCCCCTCAAGAGGAGGTGGCTTTGGTTCTGCATGCCTGGAGAAGGGCTGGCAGAGTGGTCCATGGCCTCTCCTTGGTGCAAGCCTGCAGCAGAGCTGTTGGGAAGCACAGCCACATCTGCTTACGCCCCTGGACTAGTGAACTCCCTGGAAGGCAAGCTCGGCCACCGTCAGGTGGCATCTCCCGGCCCCCCTTCACCCATGCGGACTCGTGTATAACTACGTGGCCTCAGTCAGTCCACTGAGGTCAGGTCTGTAGGGGAAAGGGCAGGACCACTGCCAGCTGGTCAGTGACCAAATGTTTGCCTTGAGATTGGAGGGTCAGTGGGTCACACTGGGCAATCTCAGCACCCGAGAGAGTTTGCCAAGTTGTGAAGTAACTGAGTAGGAGAGTCAGTGCCTCAGGGGACATTCAGCCATCTCTGCATGTGAGGATGTCATGGGACAGCAGAGGCCGCTGCCTCAGAAAGGGGTAAATACTGTGGAAGCTGCTCAGTCTTCACTCCAGTTACATTACCAAATGCCTCTCTTCTCTTCTCCTCAGCCCTACTCCATCCTTGCCTTCCACATGCAGAAACCCACATGGCTTAAATCTGTTCCACCTTGTCTTGAGGAGCCACCCTAAACCCAAACCTGCCTTCCACAGTTCAGCAGGGAGGAAAATCACTCCTACTTCCCCAGGGTACCCTAAAGCCTAGAAAATCCCACAAGGGTGGCCTCATGGCCAGGGAGTAAGTGGCAGGTTGGTAAGGGGCTTTGGTGAAGCATTCATACTGGACAAGTTTCTTCTCTGCTTCCAACAATGCCACTTCGGGGATTTGGGTACATGGACAAAAGCATTAGCAGTTCTGAAGTAGTTGCTCTTGCTCAGCAGCCTCGGGGCACATCCCACCACAAATGTGAGACCCACCCTTCACTCTACACTTCCAGAGGAATGTTCAAGTGTTTTTTTCTACTTGATTTTAGAACAAATAGCTAACTTGAAAACCAAAGCTCTCAGACTCTTTGGTAATCCCCACCCCACCCCCATCTCTGTGCAGGGAATGTGGCCCGCAGAGGCTAACTCTCCAGCTCTGCCACCTCCACTCACCCCTGTCTTACATACCCCACCCATCCACAAGACCCAAGGGCCGCCTCTCTCCAGGAAAGGGCACTAGACCCACAGACCAACAGTGGCAACTCCACCCACCTTTTCGACCTGCCTGGGGACCACATTTCCTGTGACTGCTTTCCACCATATCCCTCCTCACCACCTTCAGGCAGGGGTTCTAGATTCACATCACCAACTCCACCAAGAACTGTTGCTTAAGGAAAAGTTCTGAACACCTTCCCAAGACTCCTGAAGACTGGCTATGAGAATCTTCTAGCTCAACAGAAGATCTGCTCCTGGGCTTAGAAACCTCACTTAGCTCAAGCTCAGCTGGGACTACTTCTGAGACCCCAGTCAAACCTCAACACTGAATTGCCCAAGACTCAAACCTAAGCCTCAACTGGTCAAACACCCACCCAACAAAGCAGACACAAGATTTCCACACCCAAAACCACTACCAACAACGTAAGTACAGATGCCTAGGTCCCATGGTCTTGCGGGCCGCAAGAATATATCAGAGATTCAGCTGTGTATTAAAGATGAACTTTGACTGGCCAAGGGTCTATCAAAAGGCAAAGCCATTTATTATGAATATTTGGTATTACCCAGCCTTTAATATTCCAGCTGTCTTCTGCTATGAAATCCTTGTGTGCCCAGACCAATTGGCAAAAACAGTTCAGCTCCCCAGACCTGCTGAACCTACTAAGTTACTAACTCCCCTGCTGAGCTTAGGAGACAAACTGGCAGGAGATGCCTAGCTTTGTTTCCTGTGCTAGTGAAGTTCAGACCATCCCCTGGCCTTGAGGAGGCCTAGTGGTTCTCCAGAGCACTTTGAGAACAAAAGAGGTTTTTACATATCAAGGTGAGAGATAAAAGAACATTTCCTGAGGAGGTAGGGAACCACGTGCCCAAGGAAAGAA